CATTCACGCGTGCACTTTCCTGTACATTTGCATGCTGTATTTGGATCAGCAACTACTGATCCTAAACCTGGCGAAGAATTACGTTTGACTGCAACCGGAATTCCACTGTTTTTTGGGCATTTCCATGAATCGGATCTATTTTTTCCCATTTTTCGTTTTGCCATTTCGCATCGTTCATTACAAAATCCCGATGTGCATCTGCAAAACGAACAGATGCTCTCAACATCATCCTCGTCCGGTTCTAAATCGCATTGGATATCGATTGCTTGGGCATTGACAGCCATAGCACTGCAAATGTCGTAGTTGCATTGTAATCCAGCCGTGTTCAATTCATTAGGCTTGTATTTTTTACGATGGACTGCATGCCGACCTCGGGGTTTTAGATTTTCATCCACATCTATGTTGGGCTCACTTTCTCGCAAATTTTTGGATGAATTGCCGCAATTACAAGAATTACCAGAAGACATTTTACTTTTTTTCTTATAGAGTGATTTTAGATGATAACACTTCTATTTTTATGGCATTAGTTTACAAAGAATTTTATGAGTTTTGACGTTCACAAATGAGATGATTATATTTGACAAGTTATTGCTGTATAGAATGGTTTTTGTTTCAGTTGACACTATTCACACACGATTCACGTACTCGTAGACATTTTTTTCAATAATTAATCTTGAAGACAGTACTGGGTCCATGTTGCTTTACTTTACCATCACTGTTGATTTCTTTGATTGTGACGATGAACAGACTATTAAGTGGCAAATAATCCAGTATTGCAATATTACGCATTCGATTGTAAATTCGCGATTTTAATTTTTTGTTGATAAATATAGCATAACCAATTGTCGATTGTAAATCGGAGGGATCCCATCGTACAATTAAACTGTTCAATCCAAATTTACGTATTTCAGTAATAGCCAGCGTTTGGTTTATTTCTCGTTTGATAAATTTTTTATTTTTGGTTTTTAAGTCAATTTTTTCTTTAGAAAACATTTTTTTCATTAAAAACTATAATTTTGATATAACAGAATTATCATATGAAGTAAACTGTCAATGTCAATAATTAACTTTAATTTGTTTAGGTCCTTTTTCATTACATAAATAAAACATTCACATTTATGCCATTTTGAATGTTGCTCTTGCTTTCTGAGATGGTCCAGTTTCCGTCATCGCGCAGATGCAAATAAATAAAGTTGATTTGGGCTGAACGAAATCAATGACTGCGGAGTTTCGCACTCCGCTGTGGATTTTCATTTTCAAATCATTGTTTATGAAAATTTCAAAACCTTGTACAGGTTGTTTCGATGTATAACTCCATTTAACCAAAAGAGTGTTTTCACCTATGCAACGCACGCTTGTGATAGCAAAACTTACATTCACCGAGCTGGGATTCGTAACAGAATATGGTAAATTTTTCAAATCATCAATAAAGTTGTGTTTGAAGTTGTTTTGCAGTCGATTCATAACTGTTTGCATAACTTGCGGAGGTACATTCGCACATTTTTCTTTGACAGCGCAGACTATATCATTCCCAAAGTTTATCACAGGCAGTATAACTGGAGTACTGAATTCAAAATCAGTATTTGTTGAGATATGTTTCGCATTAGTTGATTTATCCGGTTTTGTACATTCTTCAAACAAACTCTTCGAATCCAACATGTCCGCCGTGCTGATATCTTTATCCGTCTGAGGAATCTCATTTTGAACAGCTACACTATTCCGTGTTATATGACTAACACTTTGTACATTCATATCATTGCAAGAGACTTCGTTCTGAACACCGGCTTCAGAATACAAAATTTCAGTGATTGTACTTTTAGTAGAATTAAGTGTTTCCGCGTCTCTTGTTGTTCGAAATATTTCTTCTTGACTGGCAGTCGGAGTTCTAACACTTTTTGCGTCATTTAGAGAGATGTCCACAAAGGTTACACTCTGATCATATGTCAAACTTGTTTCTGGATAAGGAGTACTCAAATATGTTTTTGCTTCAGCTTCACCAGTTTGATGATTTGGTTTACTAGCGCTGGATATAGCGTTAGAAGAATTTAAGGAAAGTAAATTTTGGCTTACAGCACCCTCATACTCTCCACAACTGCTTGGAGAATTCATATTAATAGCTGAATCTTCATCAAATTCTTTACACACATATTTGATGTCACCCACACTAGGACTTTGACTCAAAACGACGAGTTTCTTGTTTTTACTTTGTGTAGGAGAGTTGGGTTGCTTGCTTTTTGTAGCAAAGGTTGAACAAAATTCAGATATTTTATAATGGTTAATCGGAGTTCTCCTCGTGATGAAAACATTTTCTGAATTCCCGTATTTTAATTTTCTTTTCTTCAGTCGACGATTGGAGAATTTTTTAATTTTATATGTGGATATACTTGATCCACAAGAACTTTTACAATTATTTGGTAGATATTCGAAGTCAGTATTTGTTGAAACTGTTGAAACAACTTTTTCAATATCTTGTGGAGTGTAAACATTTTCTACACTTTTACTTTTTGTTTTATTATTATTGACAAAGCAAATATCACCGGCATAATGTTGTGGTTCAGAGTTATGAAAATCTTCAAATGATATTTCAGTGCAAGTTGAAAAATTGGAAGTCAAAGCATCGTCAGAGTTTTTCGGCATGATGTTATGCAACCAATCATGCTTACTACACAATTTCGACGTGGTAGGTGAACAATACGATACGTCTGTTTGACTTTTGTATAATCTTAAGTTTTGTTTACCTTCTGTGGCGTTTTCTATTTTATTTACACTTTTAATAGTTTTCATCTTGTCGTTGTAAGATTGCATCTTACTTGAACTATTTTTTGCTCGTGTTTGCAATTCATCAAAGTATTTCATTTGTTGTAAAATTGTCATAAGCTCAGCACTTACTTTCGCAATAGATGATTTAATATTATTGTGTTCTGCGCTTTCTTTAATTATAACAACCTTGGAGTCAAGATTTTCGTTATTATCGAGGTCATTTCGTGGCAAACATACACTAACTTCATCTTTATCGAATATTTCGGACGGTTGCTCGGTTTTGTCAGCTTCTGAATCGTTTTTTCTGTTAGATTTTATACTAATTGCAGTTTTGTAGTCAGAAGTAGATGATGTGGTCATGATAAAACAATCTGAGTTTTTTGTTTTGATTGTTTCAAATACAGATTGCAGCGTTTTTGCGATTTCTTTTAAATCGATGACTAATCTGTTTGAATTTTCAATTGTTTCATTGAGTGTTTCAACCTGTTTTATACTCACGTCTGAAACATTTTTATCTTTACTTTCCTCGGTTGGACAACTTTCAGACTCCGAATATAAATCAGTTTTTGGTTTAAACAAAGAAGGTTCTAGAGCAGTCTTATGAAAATTAAACAAATCTTCCAAAATATCAACAAATTCAGTGTTGTTTTCGCGTACTTTCGGAAATTCCTGTAATTTATTCTGTAATGACGTGGTATCCCTGGAAGGTAAAGATTGTGTCCTGAATATTTCGTTGAGATTCTGACGATATTTGTGTATCTTGAGTGTGCTAATCAAATTTTCACAATCTTGTGATAAAACATTGAATATTTCATCGTATTTTTCAACGTTTTTAATATACTCTGCGTTTTTAAAAACATTCATTTGAGTGCCAATATTGCGCATTTCAAACGCATGTTGTGAATTCGATTTAATTTCGAGCGTATCAACAAAATCGCTTATAATTAAAATGCATTGCAGGTCTTTTTCGGGTTCAATCCTATCTGAAAAATAGTGTCCGTTTAAATGTGTTGAAGAAATCGTTGCATTCATTGAGTTTTTAATGGATTTCGGGCTTTCCACTGCGTCTTCAAAACACGTTTGCAATTTTTGTTGTTGACTATGATTTGATTTAATTTTCGCAGGTAACGAATTCAAATTTGTTACTCTACGAGTACTTCGTGTTTGTATCTTTGCGTAGGATTCATTTACATTTGTTAAATTATCAATCATCTGCATTTTATCTTGCAGCAATTTCAAAGTGTTAGATTTGCTTGGAGTTGAATGAACTGACATATTTTTCGTGGTTGATTTTTGAGTTTTGGACGCTGATGTCTTGACAGTAATATTTGGTAACGGTCCAGATAAATGTGCTGATAGAATATTTGGCGTTACCCGCAGTGGATATTTTTGTAGCACTTTGGTTTTGCTGTTCTCGCGTGATGGTGGCTCCCATTTCTTGCTGGTGGTTACATCTCGAATTCGGTTGCGCGACGCGTTCCATTTATCACAGTCTAAACTGTGAGATGATTGCATGATGAAAATGTTTTATATATAAGTGAATGTTTTGGAATTTGGGTCACATTAACGGTTCCAGTATGAATAACGCAACTCGTGCAATTTAATTTAGTACAACAAAAACACAACACAATTAATGAGAGAATTGGCTTTCATTTCAGTGTCATCATTTTGACAACTGAATGTTTCAGATATAAATATAGATATAATACTGTTTTCAATAAAGTTTTTTTTTTGTTTTATTTGACAACTAGCGATCCGTTTCAACTTTGCACGACGTTTGCCAGATATGACTGAAATATGATATGTTTTCTGGACAGAAACAATAAGCAACCGTTTCGCCGAATTAGCATTTTCAAATTCTTTTTTATTTCGAACAAATATAGAGTGCTCGCGCTTATCGCACTGCGGCGTTTTTGTTCTCCCGCTTGCACCTCCATGCCGCTTAATATTTTTATTCGAAATCATACGACTTGCCGTGAACATGATTTCTTACCCATGCAATCCAATTGTCTAATCGGCAAGAAATCTTTAGTTTTTACGCATTTCTCTACAATAACAAGCACGTATTATGCATAATACTATTTTTGAAAACTACATAAAAATCCATTGTGTAGTTTAAGAAATTTAAGGTTTCAGACCGTTGAGCAACTTACTATGTAATGTAATAATGTAACGATATATTAATGATTTCATTTTATATTATATCTCAGTTTTGAACACAATGCTAGGGTAATAATCACTTAATAATGATGCGGATGGTCAGCATGTCCGGAATACTTAACATCAGCATTGAAGCCGTTGTGTTTATCAGCGGTGTAATGAACAATCCTGGTCCTGCCATCGGGTTGCTCCAATTTGTACCATCCCTTGACGACATCCCCATCGCGTTCCTCTTCGACAGATTTCATATCATGGGTGTGGTGGTCCTCAACGCCATATTTGTATTCATATTTTGGGTGATGCTAAAAATTTTAAGAGATTTAATATGTAATAACACCATATATGTATTTGTCAGTTTTACATGTGGCTCATAATGATCATGATGATCATCGTGGTGATATGAATGCTCTACGTGATTATTGAACGATGCGTAAGATGAAGCGTGATGTTCAGCTACAGCGCACGCGGCCAGGGCAACAAAAACAAGAAGTTTGAACATTGTTGCTTTGTTGTATTTAACAAGATTTTTGGGATGTTGATTGACTTATTGGCAAAATTCAACTGATAAATTAACAAGTTTGATACTTCGTATTTATAGTAATTTTTGGCACAACGTATAATTAATTGCATATTGTAATGCGTAAACTGATGTTACATATTTCGAAAATGCATGATTTATGCATAAAATTCAAGGAGTTGAATAATACTACAAAAATAAAAAGTACTGTATTTCGTTGCCTTTAAAGAAACTAACATTGAACGCCCATATCCAGTGAAGTAAATTATGCAACCGTAATAATGCAACAAATTTAAACTATATTTTAAGTTGTAAACCTTCCAAAATTTGGTGTATAATTGAAGGGAGTTTGACAACATATTTTATCCCTTGACGGCCATCGACACAGCAGCTTCGCAATTAAATTTAGCAATTATTCATATTATTCAGTAAACAATTGACTAAAATATTATTCTGAAGTTGTAAAAAAAAATAAAGACATTATCCATAGCGGAATATTCTGATTATGTTGGATATATATAATATAAATTGGCAAATACCTATATAATCATATATGCAATGAAAATAGTAATATATTATTGTGGTAATATTAGTAATATGCATGTTAATGCAAATATATATATGTCATAACGTTAGTAGTATCAATATGAAAGCAACTGAACCAAATTCAATACTAGCACAAATTATTTTGTTCATTAATTAATTAGTTTATTACTTTCTTTGGCGAATACGTAATCCATTTTTATATTTGAAAATATTTACATATTTATTTATAATTTTTCGTGAATATTGGATTTACTATTTATATTTGGAGTTGACATGTTTCGCCCAGAGGGCATCTTCATAAACTCATCATCTTCAGCATCTTCATAAACAGTTTATGAAGATGCCCTCTGGGCGAAACATGTCAACTCCAAATATAAATTGTAAATCCAATATTCACGAAAAATTATAAATAAATAAATATTTTCAAATTAATTAGTTCGAACTGTGAAATAAGAATGCGGAAATTTGAACAAAATTAATTTGTTAATTTATAATATTTTTGATAATGGCCCATTTATTCAAGTCCGCAAAGGTCAACGACGAATTAAACACTTCTAGGATTTGATTTTATACTCGTAAATTCAAATTTGGGTTTGTTTGTTTATTTGTAACGCTATTACATAAAAATTACAAAATCAATTTTGATATTTTTGATCAGAGGAATGCTTGTTTTGTGGCTAAAACATGACATGCGGGTTGGAAAAGTAGGGTTGGAAAATGCTATAGAGACTCAATCATAGTTCTATTTATATCATTTGATTAAAGATAGCTAAATTAAAGCTAAAATATTCTCAATTCTCATTTCTTTTCTATAAAATTAAGAATCATATTGACGCAGTAGTCATATAATAGGTCCAAGAAACAAGAAAGCAAACTAATCATTTTATTTAAATAATCAAGGAAACAAAAAGCAAAAGCAACTTATTTTGATATGTTAACTTGATAGCAGTTAGCAATCACTGATTTCCCCAATTTGATTTCCAATCATATCTAATTTTTACATTTCATCAGGTTTATCTTTATCAAATAATAATCCAAAATGAATCAACCATGATATCAATATATCCCATTAATTACCCATATTTACATCTAATTATGTTTTATTTATTGTATTTTAGGATCGTTAAATTGAGAATATTTATATGATAATTTTACTGTTGGAAATAATTTATTAGAAAAAATAAAGCGTGTATGTTATCCTACATTAATTAATGTTTTGTAATTTTTTTGCGAAATTAATAATGATGAGGATGTTCGGCATGACCAGAATATTTGACATCAGCATTGAAGCCATTGTGTTTGTCAGCGGTGTAATGAACAATACGGGTCCTGCCATCGGGTTGTTCCAATTTGTACCATCCCTTGACAACATCTCCGTCGCGTTCCTCTTCGGCTGATTTCATGTCATGAGTGTGGTGATCCTCAACACCATATTTGTATACGTATTTTGGATGGTGCTAAAGAAAGATAACAATAATTTTAATTATATGGAATATAATTATATGCAATAATATGGAAATTGAAAGCTTTACATGTGGTTCGTGATGATCATGATGATCGTCGTGGTGATATGAATGTTCAACATGATTATTGAACGATGCGTAAGAAGAAGCATGATGCTCAGCTACTACGCAGGCCACCAAGGCAACGAATACAAAAAGTTTGAACATTTTTGTGTTTAAATGGAATTAATACGTATCAAATGGATGATCGAATTAAACTGATACTTTGGTGTAGTGTGCCACTCAAATTTATACGATTTTTGGGTGCGTGAAAATTGTTTAGTAATATTCCCATTCTATTTGCTTCTGTAGAAAAGAGTTAATATATAATTTAATATGCATGCGTAATTAATACTATATTTGTTGAAATATATTAGCGAAATTGTTAAATGTAGGTAAATTTGATTCCGTCTCTATTATGCAACAATTGAAGGTGTTGCATGAATTGTATATGTTTTTAATAGAATATTAAGTATCAAGTGAGTCCGGGTGTATTTTGTTCCAAGATTAATTAAGAGTGAGCATAGCGAGCTCCAAGTGTTTAACAACGTTTTGCCACGTTATGCTTACGCTATTTCTTCTATTTCCACTCTATTTCCACGTTGAAATTTGTGTGTTTGAACTTTTCTATTTTAAATCGAAATTCTGATAGAGAATTGGCCGTAGATTAAGTGTCTGCGATTCGTTCCTTTCTGTCTCGTTTAGTTTACGAGATATTCGCAAATGTAAAAATCATGTGTGCAGTTCACACGCGGTAGAATCCGCCGGTATCACCTTCAGAACTCTGCACTGCGAGAGAATCAGACGAAAGTAGTATCAGGAGTGGGATAATTTTAGGGTTTATCTATATATATAAAATTTGCGTGTCACAGTGTTTGTTTCCATACTCCTCCGAAACGGCTTTACCGATTTTTACCAAATTTTATATGCATATTCAGTAGGTCTGAGAATCGGCTAACATCTATTTTTCATACCCCTAAGTGATAAGGGTTGTTCACCCTTAACTTTTTTTTTAATTTTTGGACAAATTCTTTTGTTTTTACATACATACAACCCTAAATTTTTAGTTTTTTATCACCAACCCCTATTTCTTTATAGCCATTTTAGTAATTTAATCATTTTTCATCCCGCTTAAAGAAAATTTTTATATGCGTATTCAGTAGGTCTGAGAATCGGTAACTTCATATCTCTAAGTGATAAGGGTTGTTCACCCTTATTTTTTTTTAAATTTTGGTCGAATTTTTTTGTTTTTATTTTTTTAATGTGGCATTAAAATATACATACAACCCTAAATTTTTGGTTTCTTATCACCAACCCCTATTTTTTATAATAAGTAAGTTACTTTTTGTCTACACTAAAATTTTTCTAGAAACTAGAAATAATTTATATGGCAAAACAACGTTTGCCCGGTTAACTAGTTTATTATAATATTGGAATCAAGTGTAATAGTATATTAAGTAACAAGTGGCTAAACGAGGGCATTACACACGAGAATTGGGAGCGAGCGTAGCGAGCGGTCAATCAATCGAGTCTTTAACAACGTTTAGCCACGAGGTGCTTACGCTATTTTTTCTACTTCCACTCTAGTTCCACGTTGCGGTATTTGTATTTCAACTTCGAATCATCGAAATTTGCTCACACTTAGACTCCCGCACACTACAAACTTTTTATCGGCCGATAGTTTGGTCGGGCTTATAATCAGTATGAAGATGTATGCAAGTCCGCATTCTACACGTTGCATTCAAAAGTACTAGATTACCCGAAAAAGTTTTTCGCATTTTATCGGATGGCCATAACTAGCGCGAAAACTCGGAGCGAACTGAACCATTGGTCGAGTCGGCCGACTAAACAATCGGTCGGTGTGCGCGCTTGCGAGGAGCTCCATACTGATATCGCAGTCGGCCGATAGTTTGTCGATAGTTTAGTTTGAACACAGTTGAGTAGCGTATCAAACTTATTTATCGGCCGATACAAAATCGTTGTAGTATGCGGACTTGCATACATCTTCATACTGATTATAAGCCCGACCAAACTATCGGCCGATAAAAAGTTTGTGGTCTGCGGGGGCTCTTAAACTGTATAATGTGGTTATAAGTGCCATGCAGTGTCGAGCAGCAGCAGCGCCTACTTTGAGGTGTATGAGTCACGTCGCATGGCATTTCATGTACATAATGAATATGATCTACGGCCTGGGCGTCCGTATATAAAGTAACACGCTTTGGGTCTAGATGCCGTGGATAAACTGGCGTTTTATAGGTGGAAGTAGAAAAAAAGTTATTTAATATTTTTCGGCCGATATTCACGTCACTTATCGGCATTATTTTTTGGCATACTTGAAGATCGTTATTATTGTATATTCCGAAAATATTCAGAATCAAGTGGCTTGTGTCAAGCTACGAAGCATTGCACAAAGAGGAGACGAAGATAATAGGAAACACTGTATATTGGTGTTCTCTTATTCTCTTGAAGGCTAAACCATATAAACGAATACGTATTTTCCTTTTTAGTGTCGTTTCATTAATTTTGAAATCACAACGATTCTAAAGAAGTTTTCACGTCAACAAATAATTATAATATTATAAGTTTTGCTAAATGCATATGATGCTGCAATTGGCGTCATTAATATTGCCATTATATGCATGCCAAAGCAACCCCATTTTTGGAAATTTTAAAAATATACCAATTGATTTTTACTATCTATGATGGTTAATTTTTTATAGGCTCTGAAGTGAAACGCGCGGATATATAAATTATACAAAAAACCGAAATAATGGGTTAAAACGATAGAATCGGTCTTGCTCCTTGCGCGAGCAATTTGATAGTTTAAGGACATTTAAACATATAATTTTGTTTCCTAACATGCTATCAAATTTGATCCTCAATGTGATTTAAACTGTGGCCTACCTTGCAGAAATGTACTTAATTCTTCTATTCTACGTCGGGGTACTTTTAATTTATAAATCGATTAGAAATGGTTTCAATAATCTGAAGAATTTGAAGTTTAAGTTTTGAATTTGAAATGTACAGATCAACTGTACATTTATGTGTACAGGTCAGGGCACACGTTTATGTTAAGGCATGTTATCTTTTGTAGTTTATATATGTTAAATTAATATAAACTCAAAGAAATTTAAGAAAAAATTAAATCCTGTTTACGAAAGATATTATGATGTTTGTGGTTTTGTGTTCATAAAAAAATTATATTAGTCTTATTTAAAGAAGTTTTATTAGAAAATATATTGTTTATGGTACATTTAATTATTCCTCACTATATCAATTACTTGAAATTGATATTATTTTTTAATATAATAATTCATAAACAAACATTTAATAATGTTGAGGATGGTCAGCATGGCCGGAATATTTCACATCAGCGTTGAAGCCGTTGTGTTTGTCAGCGATGTAATGAACAATACGGGTCCTGCCATCGGGTTGCTCCAATTTGTACCATCCTTTGACAACATCCCCGTCGCGTTCTTCTTCGGCAGATTTCATGTCATGGGTATGGTGGTCCTCGACGCCATATTTGTATTCGTATTTTGGGTGGTGCTAAGAAAGAAACACAATAATTTTTATTACATAACAATAATATTGATCTTGAATGTTTTACATGTGGTTCATGATGATCGTGATGATCATCGTGGTGATATGAATGTTCAACATGATTATTGAACGATGCGTAAGAGGAAGCATGATGCTCAGCTACTACGCAGGCAACCATGGCAATGAACACAAAAAGTTTGAACATTTTGCGGGATTTTTAAGTCAAGTTTAGTTATATGTTTACCAAACAAATGTTCGTATGAAACTGATATTTTTTACTGGAAAGCAACTCCAATTTATACTGATGTTCGTATTTTTTTGTTAATAAGATTGATCGATGTTTTTGGTGGTTCCATTTAGCTTCGCAAATCTATATGTAATACACACGTTCTCTTTACGCAAAATGTTATAAAACTTATTATTTACGTGTTATTTTGATACTGTTTGTTAACGCGGAATTCCTGCATTCATTAAACATCAATAATTATTTGATATATGCCTAAACATATATATTTCACTATTACACTAATTTAATATTCTCTGTTCAGTAATTTAACGCCGCAAGTAACTCGGATTTGTGGATATTAATTGGAAATTATTTTCGCAGAGGTGTTTATCAGTTCTAATACAAATTTCATTTGATTTCAATAATTGGCATTGAACATCCTTGCTAAATATCATTCTTTATTTAATGTGTTAAGTTATATGAATACAATTTTATCATAATATCTATTTTTGTTTAATCGAACATATATTTATCTATTTAAACCTATATTTACATCATTACAGCATTGCTTTATCCGAAAATTATCCGAGACATCTATGAAGATCTGTAATTTTAAAACACCAGTTTAAAAGAAGGAAATATAGTTTTATGCTGCATAATTACTAACCATATAGTTAAGATAAACGATTAATTTATGTCGAATAGGCTTTAAGTACTTTATAAATACAAGACGTATTATTAAATTCGCCACTTTTAAATAAAAGTTGCTTCCTGAAAAAAGACGTAAATCGAAGTCCAGGATATTGGAAATACATAATATGCACAACACGCCACTTGTTATTTTAATCCCCTAGGAGATATAGGTAAAATATAATTGTGCTCCATAATTCTGCACATTTTAGTTTTCATAGTCTTTTGGAAATGTAGAATATTTTTTTAATGATTACTTATGCTCACATTGTGCATTTTCAAAACTACTTGGGGTGTTGTCTATTATGTAACCTTTATATTTACAAGTGCTATTTCCGTAAATGTTTATTGTTTTGTCACTGAAAAGTTTTCTAAATATATACAATGTATTAACTTTTCTATCTTAAAACAGTTTTTAAGTTCATCATTTATAGTTTTATACTTGAACATTGACCCATAATTTGTTGCATTTAAGAAAATTTTATTAGAAAATATATAGTTTTTACATTGAATAAAAAATTTTGAACATATAATTAATAATGATAAGGATGGTCAGCATGGCCGGAGTATTTGACATCAGCGTTGAAACCGTTGTGTTTGTCAGCGGTGTAATGAACAATACGAGTTCTACCATCAGGTTGCTCCAATTTGTACCATCCCTTGACAACATCTCCGTCGCGTTCCTCTTCGGCAGATTTGATATCATGAGTGTGGTGGTCCTCGACGCCATATTTGTATTCGTATTTTGGGTGATGCTAAAAATGGAACACAATAATTTTTATACATAACAATAATATTTATGTTGAATGTTTACATGTGGTTCATGATGATTATGGTGATCATTGTGGAGATAAGAATGATCAACATGATTATTGAACGATGCGTAAGAAGAAGCATGATGCTCAGCAACTACGCTGGCAACAAAGACAACGAATACAAAGAGTTTGAACATTTTTGTGTTGGAATACGTTTAATGCGTATCAAATGGATGATCGAATTAAAGTGATGCTTTGGTGTAGTGGGCAACTCAAATTTATACGATTTTTGGGTGCGTGAAAATTGTTTGGTAATATTCCCACTCTCTTTGCTTCAGTAGGAGATAGTTAATATAAAATTTAATAAACATGCGTAATTAATACTATATTTGTTGAAATATATTAGCGGTATTGTTAAATGTAGGTAAATTTGATTATGTATCAATGGAAGGTGTTGCATACATTTTTTAATAGTATATTAAGTATCAAGTTACTAAACGGGGGCTTTACTCGTAAGGTTACGTTTAGCCACGTGATGCTTACACTATTTTTACTACTTCTACTCTATTTCCACGTTGTGGTTTTTGTATTTGAACTATTGTATTTGAAATCTTCGAAATTCTCTTGCACACTACTGGGAAATGTAAGGTTGTAAATGACGTGCCGTGCTGACACGAGCAGCAGTAATTCGCAATTGTAAAAAATCGTCAAAATTTTATTTCAATTTTTAGCACCGTCTTGCCCACTTTTTCTTATGAATTAAAATTTCATCTCCAAGATATCCAATTTAACTCGTATCTTATAGAAAATTGTCCGTAGATTAAGACTCTGCGATTCGTTCCATTCAATTACTTTTAGTTTACGAGATATACGCAATTTTAAAAAACTCATGTGTGCAGTTCCCACGCGGTAGAAGTGAAAGTATCAGGAGTGGGATAATTTTAGGGTTTATTTATTATAATATTGGAATCAAGGGTAAAAGGTATTTAATATTTTTCTGCCGATATTCACGCACAAACAGGTGACGAAGATAATTGGACACACTGTATATTTGTGTTCTCTTATTCTCTCGTAGGCTAAACCATATAAACGAATACGTTTGTCTCTTTTTAGTGTCGTTTCATTAATTTTGAAATCACAACGATTCTAAAGGAGTTTCATTTAAAAAAAATGAATTAAAGAACTTTTATTAGAAAATATATAGTTATTTTATACAATATATTTATTAAAATAATTTGTGATTTTTCTTGGATTTTACAATTTTGTTTGAGAGTTTTACATGTTTCGCCCTGTGGGCATTATCAGAAACTTTAGAAAATTAGAAAATTAGAAAATAATAAAAATATATAGTTTATGGTACATTTGACATAATAATACAGTTTCAATCTCTTAATAATGATGAGAATGGTCAGCATGACCGGAATATTTGACATCAGCGTTGAAGCCGTTGTGTTTATCAGCAGTGTAATGAACAATTCGGGTTCTGCCATCCGGCTGCTCCAGTTTGTACCATCCTTTTACAACATCCCCGTCGCGTTCCTCTTCGGCAGATTTGATATCATGAGTGTGGTGGTCCTCGACGCCATATTTGTATTCATATTTCGGGTGGTGCTAAAAATATTAAGGAATGTAACATTCTCGTATAATAACACCATCTATGCATTTCTCAGTATTACGTGTGGCTCATGATGATCGCCAAGCTGATCTGAATGTTCAACGTGATTATTAAATGATGCGTAAGATGAAGCGTGATGTTCAGCTACAGCGCACGCGACCAGAGCGACAAGGACAACAAATTTGAACATTATTAGTTTGTTGTATTTCCCAAGCTTTTTTTGGTTGTTGATTGATTGAAGAACACAGTTGAACTGACGAATTATTAAGAATGATATTAGGTATTTAAAGTACTTAGTGATGGTGGTGCTTATAGTACTTGGTTTTTAATTATTTTGAAGGACATTATTGTGTATTAGACTAAGAGCCCGTGACGGCCAGACTTTTGTAATTTTTGGAAAGATGAAATTTTGTCCATGTGTTTCTCCAACACAGGTAAGAACGATCCCCAATTATGAAACCTGGATCGTGGTTCCTTTGGCAGTTAACAGCCAACAAAGATGTACACATGATGACCTATGTTTCGTTATTTTAGCAAATTCCATTTTTGCATATTTTGTTCGTAACATTATTATAACATGCGCTGCTCATTGCCAGTCACCTGGTATGGTTCCGACCCTAGCCAAACACCCCTAAACTATAATATTTTTGAACTTTTTTACTTTCGTTATATTAGGAATGCTGAATTTGATACACATTATGCAGAGAGCTATGAAACTGTGTTTTCTTTCACGCCAGACAGTTTGGTCGGTTCCATTATCCTGCCAGACGCATTGAAAGTGTATAAAAGTTGCAAAAGTTAAATTGTTTAAACATGAAATTTTCAGAGAACGTTCAATAATTATTATTATAATTAATTGATTTGAACTAACAAATATACATGCAGAAATCTGAAATAAATATTTAAGTAATTGTATAATTTGAATACTTTTTTCTGCTAATTGCTAAACCATATAAACGAATACGTTTGTTTCTTTTTAGTGTCGTTTCATTAATTTTGAAATCACAACGATTCTAAAGAAGTTTTCACGTCAACAAATAATTATAATATTATAAGTTTTGCTAAATGCATATGATGCTGCTATTGGCTTCATTAATATTGCCATTATATGCATGCCAAAGCAACCCCATTTTTGGAAATTTTAAAAATATACAAATTGATTTTTACTATCTATGATGATTAAATTTTTATAGGCTCTGAAGTGAAACGCGCGGATATATAAATTATACAAAAAACCGAAATAATGGGTTAAAACGATAGAATCATTCTTGTTCTATGAGCGAGCAATTCGGTAGCGTCAGGACATATAAACATACAATTTTGTTTCGTAACATGCTATCAAATTTGATTTAAACTGTATCCTACCTTGCTGAAACGTACTTAATTCTTATATTCTACGTCGGGGTACTTTTATTTAGTTAATTTATAAATCGATTAGAAATGGTTTCAATAATCTGAAGAATTTGAAGTTTTTTAATCCTTTATATTTACAGGTCAGGGTACACGTTTATGTTAAGGCATATTATCTCATATTTTCCTATATGCCTATAGTATAAACTCCAAGAAATTTAAGAAAACAATTAAATCCTGCTTACAAAATATATTGTGATGTTTGTCGTTTTGGAAAATTATATCGTGTTCATAAAAAAATTATGTTAGTCTTATTTAAAGAAGTTTTATTAGAAAATATATTGTTTATGGTACATTTGATTATTCCTCACTATATCAATTACTTGAAATTGATATTATTTTTTAATATAATAATTCATTAACAAACATTTAATAATGATGAGCATGCCCTGAATATTTGACATCAGCGTTGAAGCCGTTGAGTTTATCGGCAGTATAATGAACAACACGGGTTCTGCCATCGGGTTGCTCCAGTTTGTACCATCCCTTAACCACATCTCCGTTGCGTTCCTCTTCGGCAGATTTTATGTCATGAGTGTGGTGGTCCTCAACGCCGTATTTATATTCGTATTTTGGGTGGTGCTAAAAATATTAAAAAATTTAACATGTAATAACATCGTATATGTATTTGCCAGTTTTACATGTGGTTCATGATGCTCATGATGATCGTCGTGGTGATAGGAATGTTCAACATGATTGTTGAATGATGCGTAAGATGAAGCGTGATGTTCAGCTACAGCGCACGCGACTAAAGCAACAAGAACAAAAAGTTTGGACATTGTTAGTTTGTTTTGTTTCACAAAATTGTTTTGGTTGTTGATTGATTGAAGAACCCAGTTCAACTGATGAATTACCAAGTATGATATTTGGTATTTATAGTCCTTGGTGCTGCAATGTTTAATTATTTTGAAAGGCGTACTATTAAGTAAGGCTAGAATTGATGTTATAATTTCAAAGGTACCTTAATTATTCATAATATTTGATGAGTTTCATAATATTAGTAAAATGAAAAGTGCTGTATTTGGCGTTTATTTAGGTTTAAAGAAACTGATAATGTACTCTAATATCCAGTGAAATAAATTATCCAACTAATTTAGGCAACTGTAACAATGCAAGAAATATAAAATGTATTTGTTTACGAACAAATATACACATTTCTATATTTTGTTAAGTAGGTATTATATAATTGTGGTAATATTAATAATATATACAGCATGTCACAGATCTACAAACAAGTTGGGGGGTGGAGAGTAGCGTTTGTTGCGGTTGTTTTCGAGGCCGCACGATTGTTGGCAGCAAAAACACACACGTCCAACCCCGTGTTTCACGAAACATCTGTGTATATTGTGTGACACGATACATGTGTATATTAATGTAGAAGTAGTAGCAAATGTTATAATGTTACTTAACTATTCACAAGCAAAGCAACTGAGCAATATTCTTGAATGTCCCAAATAATTTGATTCAATGATTAATTGATTCGATCTAACAAATATAAAGGCAGAAATCTGAAATAAATATTTAAGTAATTGTTTAATTTGAATACTTTTTTCTGTTAATTGTCGATTTATTCAAGTGCATGTGGCTTATTCAACAACAAATTAAACAATACAGAATCAAAACTTATAATACAATTGCAAAAGTGATTTTGTTTGCATGTTTGTGACGTTTTAACGCAAAAAAATCTGAACAATTTCTGATATATTTTGTAATAGAGCAATGTTTGAGCAGGGCGAGTCAATTAAACTAGTTAAAATATTACTTGCAGGTAGTGGAATCAGAGATAGCAATTGATATTGAGATTGAATCATAGTTTTATTTATATAATTCGATTAAAGATAGAGCTGAAGTAGTATAAATTCTCATTTCTTTCATATAAAATTGAGAATCATATTGTTTGTTCAAAATACGAGTATATGAGGAAAGTAAAAAAGGATTGCAGCTTATGTAGATTTGTTAACGCGGTAGCAGTTGGCTATCACTGATTTTCTCAATTTGATTAATAATCATGTTACCTTGATTTCAACAGATTTATAAAGAAAACCTGAAATAAATCAACTATGTTATTAGTATATCAAATTAACTGGATAATTAACTTAAAAGTTCATATGTATTAAAATAACCTTATTCACATGTAATTATATTTCACTTCTTGTATTTTAGAATGGTTAAAATGAGAACATTAACATGCTAACATTACTGTTTGAAATAATTTATTAGAAAAAAAAAGTGTGTATATCTTCCTACATTAATTAATATTTTGTAATTAATAATGATGAGGATGGTCAGCATGACCAGAATATTTGACATCAGCATTGAAACCATTGTGTTTGTCAGCGGTGTAATGAACCATACGGGTTCTGCCATCTGGCTGCTCCAATTTGTACCATCCCTTAACCACATCTCCGTTGCGTTCCTCTTCGGCAGATTTCATGTCATGGGTGTGGTGGTCCTCGACACCATATTTGTATTCGTATTTTGGGTGGTGCTAAAGAAAGAAAATAATAATTCTTGTTATAAAACAATAATATGTACTTTGAATGATTTACATGTGGTTCATGATGAACATGGTGATCATCGTGGTGATATGAATGCTCTACGTGATTGTTGAATGAGGCGTAGGAAGAAGCATGATGCTCAGCTACAACGCAGGCCACTAGGGCTACAAGAAGAAAAACTTTGAACATGTTGATATTTTTTAAGGTGTTTTATTGGTGTATGACAAATCAATAGTGGAAGTAATCTGATGCTTTGGTACAAAAGACCGGTCTAATTTATACTATTTTTGGGCAGTTTTGACATAAATTGAAGGCAGTTTTACATTTACAAATTCGTGTGTAATATGCACATTCTGTTTGCGTTAGCAAATAGGTAATATTAAGTTAAGTTAAGTAGGAATGCGTAATTATTAATATTTTTATTCAACTATATTATAGATGTTGTTGAATAAAAAGGGATCCATTTTATATGATGATTCAATTGAGGTTGCGTTATAAATTAATTAAATTTAATAAATAAGTGCTTGAAATATTTTACATTACGTATTACTCTGGAGTACTTAATATATTACCTCCAACTATATATATTTTAGGAAAATTTGAAAACACGGTGTGGAGAACTCTCTGTATCTAGTGAACTAATTGACTTTCTTAGATTTTCTCCACTTCATAATAGAGTTAGAGACTTTCTCTACACGATGTATACACTTCAACCATTCATTTTTTTGGAAGTGCCTTAAAATGCCCTTCAAAAATGAGCAATTTTTGGAAATTTTGAAAACATGGTGTGGAAAACACCCTGTATCTAGTGAATTAATTGACTTTCTTAGAGTTTCTCTACCCCAGAATAGAGTTAGAGTGTTCCTCTACCCAATGAACGCCCTTTTAACTTTTCAACCTTTTCGGAAATGCCTTAAAATGCTCTTCAAAAATCAGCATTTTTAGGAAAATTTGAAAAGATGGGATGGACACCATGTATCTCCGAAATTAATTGATTTTATTGGGGTTTCTCCACGCCAAAATAGAGTGAGGGGGTTTGTCTACACGATGCATACCTTTTCAACCTTGCAAGTCTTTTGAAAGTGCCCTAAAATGCCCTTCGAAAAGAGCAATTTTAGGTAGATTTGAAAACATGGTGTGGATTACTCCTTGTATCACGTGAACTAATTGACTTTCTTGAAGTTTTTCAACGTCATGTTAAAGTTCGAGACACCCTTTACACTATGCATACCTTTTTAACCCTATAAACCCTTTGGAAGCGTCTTAAAATCGCAATCTAATATCGCTATTTTTGTCCAATTAAAAAACGGGAAATGTTAGCAAAAAAAGTTTCAAATATAAACGATGTCGAATTAAATTATCTATCAGAATCTGATTATGAATTTAATAAAAATTAATAGTTCCATGCTTAGTACGAGTACAATTCTTCTCATGTTCTGCACTACCACACTGAAAGTATCAGTGTTTACAGACATACTAGTTTCTTTATCTCCTGCAGTTTTGTGCGGCCGCCACGAGGTTGGCGTGAGTACCGCGTTAGTCTCATTTTTGTCGTCAGATGATCTGGATACACATTTTTTTTACAATATCTTGAGTTCCTTAATTTTTGGTCGCGTTATTACATACTGTTTGTAAATGCTTCTTCGATTGTGCGCGAGTGATGTGGGGCGTTTGTTAAGCGCGGATTGTATACACACAGAGATAAAGCGTGAGTGATGTTCCGTCGGCCGTCGGATACTCTTTTTGTATCATACGCGTATTTCATCATTTCTACAATGTGCATAATTAAGGTCCTTACAATTTATTGGATAGGCCAAAAGCGCAAAAATTAATTTTGCATCAAGGTATGTTCTTGCATTTCTTAAGCCATTAGAAAATCAAATCCATTATTGCCTTTGCTTGTTTTTACTTCATCTGCGTGGTCTTTAAGCCTTCAAATAAGTTTTGTCTCTGCTTTATTACCGTTGATTTGCATTACGTATTTGAAATCTTGTTTTGTTTCTGTTTAATGTACAAATTCAAAGGATTAGGATAGTCGCGTGCCGTCGGTTGCGTTCTGGATCCTGTGGCGGCTTTCCGGACTGGTTGCTGCTTGTTTTACATGATTTAAAATATAATTTTGCTTTGTGCTGTATTTTTGTAATATCCAATGTTCTATTTTTATGTTTTCTTACTTTTCACTTTTCTTTGATTTCCGGTGTATACATTTTGATTTTTTTAAATTCCTGATAGTTTTCTTTTTATATTATCTTGAAATACAATGGTAGTACGACATCGTACAGCGTACAGTAAGTGTTTACTTAACTTTACTTAGCTTATATTATCTTGTTATTGTCGCCTTGTTAATTATTTCCATCAGTTTTTCTATTTAAATCTTATTTTTCTTTGTGTATCACCCAGTAGATATATTTTCCCTACTATTTATTAGTGTTTGGGCGTTTTACTTTTAAAACTTGGAGTTTTTTGTAACACCCTGTATATTCATTTCCCGTGGTGTTCAAATGGATGTATGTTATCCTATTTAAACTTAGAATTTTTCTTTGAAATATTGTAGTTTTCTTTTTGTATCACCCTGTATTAAGATTTCACGTAGTGGGTTTGTCAAAAGGGGAAAGATATATGCAATTCTACTTAAACTTTGGATTTTCTTTTAAAATATTGTAGTTTTCATTTTGTATCATCCTGTATTATAATTTCCCGTCGTGGATTTTTGTAACATTCTGTATACTAATTTCTCGTAGTGAATTTGTCAGAAGGGGAAAGATATATGTCATCCCACTTAAACTTAGGATTTTTCTTTAATATTTTGTCGTTTTCTCTTTACATCACCCTGTAAAGATTAGATATATATTTCCCCACTTGAATTTTGCAATTTTTTGTTAAATATTATTATATTGTTTTTGAACATCCTGTATAACAGTTTTCTTTAATTGCTTAATTATGCAAAATTTGTTAATATCATATGTTTTTCTTTGTTATTTTTTTACCCTTGGTACTTGTCTACATGTACGGGGCTATATTGCTCTTATAGCTAGATTTAAAATGGTTACGTATATATTGTTTAGTATTATATTTTAAGTTTTCATTGTATAGCCCAGTCATTTGGTAGTTTTGCCTAGCAAATAGTGCGGGATTGTTGAAAATTGGTATTCATATAGATTTCGATGTGCTCTTTACGAATTTCAACTTTGCCACCTCGTATCTTTTCCGCTCGCGCCACCATCTTGGAAAAATGGTGTCAGAGAACAGTTTTTTGACCATATCTCCTTTCCGACTCATTTTACGATAAACGTTACTATATAATAAATTAAACTAGAGAAAATTTCGCAAAGTCTACTTCAACATTAGTTTTTGCCAAAAACTCATTTCCACACCACCGTGGTATCCCCAGTAGACCTAATCCACACGCATTATTCCAAAATTTAATGGATTGTCTTCCGATTCGCTCTTCGCGATAGACCAAGTGTTCTGCGTTAATTGCCTTCAGGACCGATCGAAATATCACAGGTAAAAATTTCTTCCATATTATCTGCGATGGGATTATCGTTTTCAATGCAATCTTGGTTCTCGAGTTCATCGTACGTATGCTCAAAAACGGTAATCGTTTCTTCCTCTTCATCGCTATCTTGTGATGGAACTTGCAAATTATCACAGGTAACACTGCAATTTGTTCAGATAACGGAGCACTTCATTCCAGCCTTTCTGCAGCCGCAGGCTTTCTGACATCCCTTTTTGCATTTGCAAGATATTAGTTTTAACAATGTTTCGGTAGCTGGGGCTCAAGTGTGGTGACAGGAATTAGCCCATTCTTGCTTCTTTTCCATCCCCATTGTTCTGCATTTAGTTCATTCCCATACCACTGCTTAACTTGGTGATAAGTTCTGAACGTATGTTGTCGGGCTGCGGCTTCTGTTGGTGGTAGCGATACAATATTAAATTTATTTTTGTATGCTGATTTTGTGAAGTTGCCATATCTATAGGTGTTTGAAGACATATTTTGCATAGTTTTCACATCACTGTAACTGTATAATTTAAGAAGGAAGAATTCGCCAGCTGTAGCAATGCTCTCTGAACCAGCTTGGACAATTTCGTTTAAATCTGGATTTTTGCGGAGTACATTAATAAATTTTAATTTTCCTTGATGAAAGAGTGCAGATGTTGTATCACAGCCACTAAAAGCGTGAAGGAATAATATGTGATCTGCCGCTATTTGATCGATGATGCTTTTGGTTGAATATATTTGTGGCAAAATTTTTCCTTTTTCTGGTTTTAGCAAATATATGTTTGAACACATTGATAGCGCCGTTAAAAGAATAAGAAGATCTACATCTTCGCCGATAACATGCACGAATTGTGATACTGTGCATTGGCTGCGACCAAATCATAAACACGCTCGAGACATTCAACAATCGCTCTACCCCAGTCATCATTATCCGTTTTTGTTTCGCTATAAATTCTGCTGTTATTTCAGCAGCGCACCAAAAATCTTTAAAATTTTTAAATCTTTAAATGAGAATGTTGGGCACGTGTATCGCAGTTGAGGTTGAGAAGTCGTGACAACAATTCCTTTTTTAAACGCAATGATTAATTTCTCATTATTATATCGTTTCCGGCATATCTCGTGAACAACTACCGATCTCAATCCCTCTAAAAGTTTACCCTTATTATCCTTTCTTTTAATGCTTGACTTACGAAAGGTCTCCAATCCTTTTTCTTTCACTTCAATCACTTACCATCTTGCAATGGACTTTTACAAATAAAACAATTTACGTTATCAACCATGGCTTCCAAACTGCAAACAACACGACTATTCAAAACGATAAATATGTAAAAATTACTCAATGAAGAAATAATAAAACAAAAGTAAACTCGGCCGACGAAACCTTCAAACAAGCGAGGGGGAGCAGGAGCACCCTCAAATCATAGCAAGCAAAAATAGCAGTCATGATGACCTGGAAATGAGTTTTTGACAAAAACGAATGTTGAAGTAGGCTTTGTGGCGCCCGTACGCAAAAACTATTCATTTTACAAGAAATAGGTACTTACATAAATTATAGGAAATTTTCTCTTGTTTAATTTATTATATAGATATGCTTATCGTAAAATGAGTCGGAAAGGAGATATGGTCAGAAAACTGGTCTTTGACACCATTTTTTTTTTATATGAATACCAATTTTCAACAATCCCGCACTATTTACCAAGCAACCACATTTTTAGCACCAAATAACTGTACTATGTATACATGTTTCAATAAAGAAATGTTAAAAGTGACTGTGCCTCCTATGATTTGTGTGTACCCCATCTATCATTTCAGGTACAGGTCAGAACTTGTAAAAATATTTTTAAGTGTCGCCTGTCCTGAGACGACTTAAAACTTAGAAATATATTTACAAGTCCTCATAAGAAATGTCCTTATGAGGAGATCTCCCACTCGGGGGATGATCCCCCACCATAAAAATTGTTGATATGCCGGAGTATTCTGGGGGTGAAGCGTAGAGACATCGTAGCTGTAGGATGGGCCGGGAGCAATGGACGCATCTAAGCAGTGGACTGTCTTATAGAACGACACGCCGCCAAAAAATTCAAAAATTTGATCCACTCCTGTTCTCTTCCTTGTATTTCCTATTCTCTCCTCTCAACTCTACCACCACTACTTCTTCTTTTTCTTCAATGTTCTCGGTTTCTCATTTCTTTTTGCTTTCACTTGTATTGCAATTTATTTTATATTTAATTTGAGATTACACATGCAACCCAAATTACACCTGTTATTTTTCTATTTGAGAAAAATGCCTTCTATAACTGGAGATTGAACCATCGATCTACATTATGGCAACATGTGCTGCACACCTGAGCGCCACGCGGCTTTCTTATCAACTCTTATTGGTTTATTCTATTTATGTTTTCATATCTTGCAGTAAAATAAAACAACAACATACATATTCTACACTGTACTATACTATGCTATACAATGGTGTACTCTTAGAGTGCAACATGACTTAATACTAATCCTGAAAACAACTTAGCGAACACTAGGGACACAGTGTTTACAAGAATGTAAAATTTACTTTAAAATATTCTTTATTGGCTAAACATTTAAATTATTATAAAGCAATAACAAGGTAACTGTAGGATTTTAAAAGTTAAAGTTGAGTTAAGTTTTATTTGATGCTACTTACTCCTTGGTTCGCACAAATTCAATACTCACAATCTGATGAAAGAATTGATGTCCTGGGACATTCTGTTCGCCCGCAAGACATCAAAAACCTCAAAAAAATTAGCACATCGAAACACAAAAATGAGACTTGTGCAGATTTCCCATGGGCTAATCACACAAATTACTTATGAAAATGATAAACAAATTCAATACTTACAATCTGATGAAAGACTTGATGTCCTGGGACATTCTGTTCGACGGCTAGGCACCAAAAACCACAAAAAATTAGCACATCGAAACACAAAAATGAGACTTGTGCAGGTTTCCCATGGGCTAATCACACAAATTACTTATGAAAATGATAAACAAATTCAATACTTACAATTTGATGAAAGAATTGATGTCCTGTGACATTTTGTTCGCCCGCTAGACACCTAAAATTACAAAAACTAAGCATATCGAAGCACAAAAATGAAATTTTTGCAAGTTTCCCTTATGCAAATCAAACAAATTACTTACGAAAGAGATAAACAAATCCAATACTTACAATCTGATGACAGAATTGATGTCCTGGGATATTCTGTTCGCCAGCTAGACGCATAAAACTACAAAAAATTAGCACATCGAAACACAAAAATGACATTTTTGCAGGTTTCCCGTGTGCTAATCACACAAATTACTTATGAAAATGATAAACAAATTCAATACTTACAATCTGATGAAAGAATTGATGTCCTGGGACATTCTGTTCGACGGCTAGGCACCAAAAACCACAAAAATTAGCACATCGAAACACAAAAATGATATTTTTGTAGGTTTTTCGTGTGCCAATCACACAAATTAATTACGAAAATGATAAACAAATTCAATACTTACAATCTGATGAAAAAATTGAAGTCCTGGGACATACTGTTCGCCAGCTAGACACCTAACACAAGAAAAAATTAGCACATCGAAACACAAAAATGATATTTTTGCAGGTTTCCCGTGTGCTAATTACACAAATTACTTATAAGGTTGATAAACAAATTCAATACTCACAATCTGATGAAAGAATTGATGTCCTGGGACATTCTGTTCGCCCGCAAGACATCAAAAACCTCAAAAAAATTAGCACATCGAAACACAAAAATGAGACTTGTGCAGGTTTCCCGTGGGCTAATCACACAAATTACGTATAAGGATGATAAGCAAATTCAATACTCACAATCTGATGAAAGAATTGATGTCCTGGGACTTTCTGTTCGCCAGCTAGACACCAAAAACCACAAAAAATTAACACATCGAAACAAAAAAATGATAGTTAAAAATAGCACATCGAAAGACAAAAATGATATTTTGCAGGTTTTTCGTGTGCTAATCTCACAAATTACATACGAAAATGATAAACAAATTCAATACTTACAATCTGATGAAAAAATTGATGTCCTGGGACATTCTGTTCGCCAGCTAGACGCATAAAACAACAAAAAATTAGCATATCGAAACACGAAAATTACATTTTTGCAGGTTTCCCGTGTGTGCTAATCACACAAATTACTTATGAAAATGATAAATAAATTCAATACTTACAATCTGATGAAAGAATTGACGTCCTTGGACATTCTGTTCACCAGCTAGACACATAACACAAGAAAAAATTAGCACATCGAAAGACAAAAATGATATTTTGCAGGTTTTTCGTGTGCTAATCTCACAAATTACATACGAAAATGATAAGCAAATTCAATACTTACAATCTGATGAAAAAATTGATGGCCTGGGACATTCTGTTCGCCAGCTAGACGCATAAAAACACAAAAAATTAGCACATCGAAACACAAAAATTACATTTTTGCAGGTTTCCCGTGTGCTAATCACACAAATTACGTATAAGGATGATAAACAAATTCAATACTCACAATCTGATGAAAGAATTGATGTCCTGGGACATTCTGTTCGCCCGCAAGACATCAAAAACCTCAAAAAAATTAGCACATCGAAACACAAAAATGAGACTTGTGCAGGTTTCCCGAGGGCTAATCACACAAATTACTTATGAAAATGATAAACAAATTCAATACTTACAATCTGATGTCCTGGGACATTCTGTTCGCCCGCTAGACACCCAAAGGAACAAAAAATTAGCACATGGAAACACAAAAATGATATTTTTGCAGGTTACCCGTGTGCTAATTACACAAATTACTTATTAGGTTGATAAACAAATTCTATACTCACAATCTGATGAAAGAATTGATGTCCTGGGACATTCTGTTCGCCCGCTAGACACCTAAAACAACAAAAAATTAGCACATCGAAAAACAAAAATGACATTTTTGCAGGTTTCCCGTGTGCTAATCTCACAAATTACTTATGAAGATGATAAACAAATTTAATACTTACAACCTGATAGAATAATCGTTGCCCTAGGTTATTATGATAGCCCGCTAGACACCTAAAACAACAAAAAATTAGCTCATCAAAGCACAAAAATTACAGTTTTGCGGGTTTTCCGTGTGCCATTAATACAAATAATAATTTAATCAAAAATTATAAAACTACAACATTTGCGTTTCTTAAGACAGGAAGACTTCGAGAGTGTTAACAGCTAGGAACAATACTGCCGGCGCTATCGCGGCGATCTTACAATACGCATAACGAATACAAAGCAAATTAACGATTTTGTAATAAAACACTAAACGTCACGTCAGTAATTGTCAAATACAGTCGATGAACAATCGGCAAAACAAATTACAAACACAATATAAACTGATGAACTGCCGCGAGAAACACAGCTGACCCAACCAACGACCGGTACAAAACTGCGCTGAGAACCTAACGCACCGCATTCAGCAACGGCGCACCATACACGCTATAATCCTGCGCACACGCCGCAGTAAAACGCGCACTAATTGCAACTAACAAGATCGCATGCAGGATGGCCAACTCAGGGAATGCGATTATAAAACTTGTTTAGTGGAATTTTGCATGTAAAATCTCATTACAAAGTTTCAAGACAATCGCTTTAAATTGAAATTAAATTAAGGATATACCTACCATAGGTATTGACACTATATTATCGCTTGCGACAGTAAACGCCTATAGAAAATATAGGACCTATGCCCCATTTCGAATTATATACAAATAAACAAATAAACACAACCACAAGCTATTTTTTCAATATATCAATCTTTCAATCTTAAAAACTGTCTGTAAATTTACCATTCATTGTTTTATGCTAGTTCATTGACATATAATTTGTTTGCATTTTAGAAAATTTTATTAGAAAATATATAGTTATTTCTTCATTTGAGAAAAGACAATAAATATATTATATTAATAATGATAAGGATGGTCAGCATGTCCGGAGTATTTCACATCAGCGTTGAAGCCGTTGTGTTTGTCAGCGGTGTAATGTACAATACGGGTCCTGCCGTCGGGCTGCTCCAATTTGTACCATCCCTTGACGACATCCCCGTCGCGTTCCTCTTCGGCAGATTTCATATCATGAGTGTGGTGGTCCTCGACGCCATATTTGTATTCGTATTTTGGGTGATGCTAAAAAGGAACAGAGGAATTTAAATTACATAAGAATATTATTTATCTTGAATGTTTACATGTGGTTCATGATGATCATGATGATCATCGTGGTGATATGAATGTTCAACGTGATTATTGAACGATGCGTAAGAGGAAGCATGATGCTCAGCTACTACGCAGGCAACCATGGCAATGAACACGAAAAGTTTAAACATTTTGCGGGATTTTTAAGTTAAGTTTAATTATATGTTTACCAAACAAATGTTAGTATGAAACTGATATTTTTTACAGGGCAACAACTCCAATTTATACTGATTTTCGTATTGTTTTGTTAATAAGAATGATCGATATTTTTGGTGGTTCTATTTTGTTTCGCAAATATGTATGTAATACACCCGTTCTCTTTACGTAAAATGTTGTAAAACATATTATTTACGCGCTATACTGATACAGTTAGTTAACACGGAATTTCCGCATTTTTTAACATTAATAGTTTACAGATATATGCCTAATTGATTAATGCTTGTTCAGTAGTTTAACGCCATCACATGTGCCCCATGTGACCATAATTTGTGGATATTAATTGTTTATTATTTTCGCAGAGGTGCTTATCAATTTTAATACAAATTTCAATTGAATTCTATAACTGTCGTTGAATTTTCAAACCAAGTTTTATACTTTATTTAACTTTATTTACTTTATTTAAGTTATTTTTTTCTACCAAATTTCAAAGGATTATCCGCTACACTAGTCAAGAATTTTATAACTTTATCCATTTTTGTATAATCGAACATATATCTATCTGCTTAATCTTATATTTATATCAAAACGGCATTGCTTTGTCCAAAAATTAATAAAAACACCATTGAAGACCTGAAATTTTTAGAACACCAGCAGAAAGGAGAAAATAGTTTTATGCTGCATAATTACTAACCAAATGGTTAAGATAAACGATCAGGAGAAGATCATAGAATACCCAAGTAGAGGAATTTGCATATATACTTTCAATTAAGTTCAAAGATTTAATTTATTTGGAATATACTTTTGGTATTTTATACATACGAGTAAAATATGGCATATTATTAGGTTCGCCACTTTTAATTAAAAATTACTTTCTTATATAAATTTAGACTTAAATTGAAGTCCAAGATTATGAAAAAACATGACACGCACGATACGACAATTGTTATTCTTATACGTATGTAAATAAAGGTAAAATATAATTGTGCTCCATAATTCTGCTCATATTTTAGTTTTCATAGTCTTTAGAGACTTTAAATATTTTTTTAATGATTACTTATGCTCACATTGTGTATTGTCTTTATCAAACTACTTGGGTTGTTGTCTGTAAGTTTATCATTTATAGTTTTATGCTAGAACATTGACCCATAAATTGTTGCATTTAAGAAAATTTTATTAGAAAATATGTAGTTGTTTTCACATTGAATAAAATTTTTTACATAAAATTAATAATGATAAGGATGGTCCGCATGGCCGGAGTATTTCACATCAGCGTTGAAGCCGTTGTGTTTGTCAGCGGTGTAATGAACAATACGTGTTCTGCCATCGGGTTGTTCCAATTTGTACCATCCCTTGACGACTTCCCCGTCGCGTTCCTCTTCGGCAGATTTCATATCATGGGTATGGTGATCCTCGACGCCATATTTGTATTCGTATTTTGGGTGATGCTAAAAAAGGAATACAATAATTTTTATAATGTAACATTAATATTTTTCTTGAATGTTTACATGTGGTTCATGATGATCATGATGATCGCCGTGGTGATAAGAATGTTCAACATGATTATTGAACGACGCGTAAGATGAAGCATGATCCTCAGCTACTACGCAGGCAACCATGGCAATGAACACGAAAAGTTTGAACATTTTTGGGCTTTTTAAATTAAGTTTACTTATATGTTTACCAAACAAATGTTCGTATGAAACTGATATTTTTACAGGGCAGCAACTCCAATTTATACTGATTTTCGTATTGTCTTGTTAATAAGAATGATCGATATTTTTAGTGGTTTTATTTTGTTTCGCAAATATGTATGTAATACACCCGTTCTCTTTTCGTAAAATGTTTTAAATCTATTATTTACGTGTTATTCTGATACAGTTAGTAAACGCGGAATTCCTGCATTCATTAAACATCAATAATTATTTGATATATTCCTAAATATATATATTGCACTATTGCACTAATTTAATGTCTGTTCAGTAGTTTAACACCACCACAGTGCCGCATGAGACCATGATTTGATCTATACTTGTCGTTAAATTTCATCCTTTATTTAACAACACTCTATAAGTTATATAAATAAAATTTAATCATTATATCAATTTTTGTATAATCGAACATATATCTATCTGTTTAAACCTATATTTATATCAATACGGCATTGCTTTATCCGAAAATTAACAAAGACATCTTTGAAGATCAAAAATTTTTAAAATACCAGTTAAAAGAAGGAAATATATGCGGCATAATTACTAACCATATAGTTAAGATAAACGATTTAATTTATTTGGAATAGACTTTAAGTACTTACATATGAGTATAAAATATCTTTAATTACAAGACGTATTATTAACTACGCCACTTTTAAATAAAAGTAGCTTCTTTAAAAAGTTTAGACTTAAATCGAAGTCCAGGATAATGGAAATACATAATATGCACAACACGCCAATTGTTATTCATATACGTTAGGAGATATAAGTAAAATATAATTATGTTCCGTAATTCTGCACCTATTTTAATTTTCTTAGTCTTTAGAGAATGTAAAATATTTTTTAATTGCCTATTATGTAACCTTTATATTAAAAAGTGCTATTTCCGTTCATATTGATTGTTTTGTCTCTAAAAAGTTTTCTGAATATATACAATGGATTAACTTTCGAATCTTAATCTGTTGTTAAGTTAGTTTTATACTAAGACATTAACACATAATTAGTTGCATTTAAGAAATTTTATTAGAAAATATATAGTTGTTTTCACATTGAATAAAAAATATTGTACATATAATTAATAATGATAAGGATGGTCAGCATGGCCGGAGTATTTGACATCAGCATTGAAGCCATTGTGTTTGTCAGCGGTGTAATGAACAATACGGGTTCTACCATCGGGTTGCTCCAGTTTGTACCATCCCTTAACCACATCCCCGTCGCGCTCCTCTTCCGCAGATTTCATATCATGAGTGTGGTGGTCCTCGACGCCGTATTTGTATTCGTATTTTGGGTGATGCTAAAAAAGGAACACAATAATTTTTATACATAACAATAATATTTATCTTGAATGTTTACATGTGGTTCATGATGATCATGGTGATCACCGTGGTGATAAGAATGTTCAACATGATTATTGAACGATGCGTAAGAAGAAGCATGATGCTCAGCTACAACGCATGCAACCAAAGCAACTAAAACAAAAAGTTTGAACATTTTTGAGTGATTTTTATATTAACTTGGAAGATACTTATATGTGTATCAAATGGATGATAGTATTAAACTGATATTTTTTGCTGACCAACTAGTCCAATTTATACTGTTTTTATTCGGATTTTTTTGTTAATTCGAATGTAAAATGCAATTTGGATTGCGAGTTAGTTTCGCAAAAATATTTGTAAAACGCACCTTCCCTTTTACACTAAACAGTGCGGTATTTATTATGTATGCGTAATTCTATATATTAGCTAATGCATTAGTCAAGCACACAATAATCGTAAATAATTCTTACATGCCTAAATATTTATATGGACTCATTGCATTATATTCATAACACAATCTCATCTATAAAATTATATTTGTTATTGTTTTTATATCATATTTGGTTTATATGCAGCACTTACTACTATTATTACTACTTACTACTAATATAATACTATTGCATGCCTTAAAATAAAAATTAATTACGCATTAAATGACTTGAAAATTATAGAACTGCAGTATCAGCGAAAGCAAATAAAATGATACGCTTTATAATAAGTTAACAAACCTAAGTTAAATTACTATTGCACACATACTTTCATTTAATTTTTAAGGTTTAATTCCCAAAGTTGAATAAAAATTTAATACTCATAAAAGAACAATTGCTATTTTTATATTATAAGATGTAGAGTACAATATTACAGCTGATATAACATTTATTATACGAGTATTTGGTAAAATATTTTATAGCTGTTGGTAACTGTAAACGCTGCACTCATTTTATATGTTATATTCTTTATCTGCTACATTCTTATGCATTATACGCATACCATGAAGAATTAATTGCTCTTACTCGTAAATACGAAAGTTGTGAGTTATAAATTGTAACTTGTATTTAATATTGATTTGTCTATAACTTACGTATTTTTAATTTTTTGTTAGTTAATCAAATGTCCAGAATCGTTTGATAGTGATGTTTGCAGTCGGCGAATCTACGCCTCATTAGTAGGTGTTATTTATTGTTTACTAATATTACTATGCAATGACTTATCACAAAAAAAAACTGAATTATTTTCTGATAGAACATCGATTACCCACAGTTTAATAAGATTCTTATTAACCAAATATCTAACATTATATCAAGATGATATACTCCACGTTGTAGTCTGGTACATTTATAATTTTCATGAATTATCTACTATGACCTCCTGTCTAGTTTACTCGCAATCAGTTTGTCTGAAATTCGAAGAATACAACCAGTTAGAATTCTATAATGTCAGAATTATCTAGTTACCCCAATCACATCCCAGTGCTAAATTGGGTAATTTTAGCATTGCAATTTCTTGGATGTTGTCGAAAGAAACCAAACCTAATCAGCATATTTACATCAGTTTCATTAATATTCATGGTACTTTTATTATTGTGGGATATTTCGATTAATTTTGAAGGAATCGCTTCACTAAAACGAATACGATTCATGCCAGCATGTTTTATGGTATGGCTTGTATTGGACAAATAAATAATCAAGTAATAAACACTAATACATTTCATTTTTAGGCCATGGTCAAAGGAATATTGATGATATTACAATCAAAAGATTACTTAAAAGTTGTAGAGGAAGTGAAAGATTTTTGGAAACCGCTAGAATTTGACTTAGAAACACGAAATTATTTTAATAGAATATTCAAAATTGTCACAATTCTATGTCCATTTTACATCTCATTTTGCCTATCATTTTGTGTGATATTAGCAGGAATCTCATGGATTGACCTGGATAAAAGAGAATTTGTATTGGGAGATTATAGTTTTTGTGATGAATTCGCAAGTTTTTCGTGCTGGTTCTCAATGTGGCTGTGGCAATCGTTTTTATTATTGGGCCAAGCAGTACCAGTGTCTTGTTTATTCGATTGTTTCTTTATTATATGTGTAGCATACGTTTACAATGGATGTGAATTACTGAAAGCAGCTTTTAAAAGACTTGATTCTGATAGTCTTAGAAAACGATATGATGCATTAAGGGAAGTGGTTGAACAGCATCATGTTATTATGACATTTATTATCAATGTCAATAATCTCTATACAGGATTTATGCTGGTGCAGTTTTGGTGCTCACTGTGGTCGCTTATATTATATTTATATATGATAGTCATTGATGGGTATGCATTAGAATTGGTTTCGACTTTAATGTATTACATTTTATTGTTTTAAATTTAGAATTCCACCAAAAGCAGCAGATGCTGTTTTATTTGGAACTTTATATTGTATATTTTCGTTTCAATTACTTATTTATGCGTTGGGCGGAACTGTTATTGAAGAACAGGTACAATTTTAACCAAATTTAACCATAAATATTTGACTGATTTATGGTTTACTTTAGTTGAGAAGTTTATCTACTGCCATGTTTGAAATTAATTGGGATGGTAAGGGACGAACAGAGTTACGAAAAGATTTATCTTTTATGATATTTAGAGCTCAGAATGCGACGATTTTAAGTGTTGGTAAGATGTCACATTTAAATTTGGTTTTATTCCTTAACGTAAGTGAATGATTACCTAGTTTTTGTTATTTGATTAAAAAAAATATTTCAGGTAATTAAGAATTCTTTATCAGTTCTTACTCTTATTCTACAATTAGATAAATAATAATTGTATTATTATAATTGTAATTATTATTATTGTATTAGTATTAGTATTGTATTCGTTTGTCGTCATTTCACGCAAAAACCCTTCAACAAATTTTGATAAATTTTGGTATTGATATATGTTTGGCTATGAAAAAGCAAATAGTATGCTTTGTGCCATAAAAATATAACACCTTTCGTTAAATAAGAGTTAAATTTGAATCAAGATGATGCTAAAATGCATTATTATCATTTTTTATTCTTTTAAAATAAAATTTAAATAAAAACGAATGAAGTTGTAGACAAAAATTAATATTATTATAAAAAAAACTTTATTTATTTATAAAACATGCCAAATTCCTAATATATAATTTCCAAATTCAGTATTTAAGCAATTTTGTGATTTTCGCTTAATTTTCATTAATTTTATCTTAAAACATTTCTAGCAGTATAACTATGACTAAGTTCTAAATGATAAATGATATTATAACAATTTTCCCTTTTACTGACCTTGACCTGCAATAAATAATTACCTCTACAGTAGTCATTCATTTCCATCATTTCGGAAATTAACTTTTGCCGCTCCAACCACTTTTCCTAATATAATAAGGTAATAAGTAAGTTATCAACGTACCCATTTTTAGAACTAGGTTAAAAACCTAATCACCCATTAGTGGTATTCGATCATTTTGATTCACAATTTTGAAATATGCGGTTGAAATTGAAACTGGCCAGCGGTTCAAATCTAACCACGCCATTAAGATGTCTTCTAAGTTTGCTATGGTTTATTGGTGCTTATAGACCAAAAAAGAATATATTAAGCTATTTTGCAATGATATCACTACCAATAATGACGCTACATTTGACCCTTGATTTGTCTTTAAATTGGAATGGAATGGAAACGTTGAAACGAGTCAAATATTTACCTTCTATTTTAATGGCAAGTACAAAAAAATATTTTAATATAAATAATATTTAATATTTAATTTGTCTTTGTTTTTGAATGCATAATTCATGTTTTTCAATGTTAAAATACTTTGTTTTTATTCACTTTCTAACGATGCTCTTAAGGCGAAACATGTAAACTCGAAAAAAAATTAAAATTTATAATCACCTAGAAATAAAAAACTTATTACAAAATTTAATATTTTGTTATTTTTCGGTATTTTTTAAAACTTTTTCTGTCGCATTGGCATATTTCACCGTTGAAACATCGTCAGTTAGTGATAAAACAACTTAATATTAAATTATGTGAATAAGGAAAAGATTTAATATTAAATACTAATATTTTTTTATTATTTTTTATTGCAGAGTACATTTAAGTGTATATTTTTAATAGTTAACACGCAAAAATTAATCGCTCTTATAAAAATGTTAAAATATTTCTGGCGTGTAGAAAATTTCGATGAGAATACACAAAAAGTTGTCAATCGTGTGCATCGATGGTTATCGTATATTGTTTTGGGATATGCGTTTCCGTGCTTGTCGCTATGCCTACTATTTACAGTAGAGCCATTTTTGAACAAAGAAAAAATAACTCTTGTTTTATTCGATTATGCGTTTTGTAACTTGGAGAACTATATTTGCTGGTGGTTCAATTATGTTTGGCAATCATACGCGCTTATGTTTCAAGTTATCCCAGCTGGAATTGGATGCGATTGTATCTTTCTTATTCTTACTGGATACGTTTATAACGCATGTATTATGTTTACAACTGCTTTGGTGAAGTTGAACACCGAAGATGTGGAATATCGCAAGTATTTTTTGAAGCAAGCTGTTAACCAACACGACTTGATTATAACATTTGTAAATTATATTGATGATGTGTTTACTACCATGATGGTAATACAATTTTGGTGTTCTCTATGGTCAATGATTTTGTTTTTAAATATGATAGTGGCCAATGGGTAATTATTGAATTTATAATATACTAGCTTTAACCCGCGACTTCGCTCGCGTTGAATCCATCAAATAAATATTAGAAATCATTATAACTATGTATAAACGGATTGATAGAAAGAATGTATGAATGAAAGAATGTATGCAACTGCTTGGCTAGGATTATCTATGTGAAAAAATTACTACATGCAAAAAAGTTTTAAATTTTAGATGGAATGCTAGATGGCGTTAAAGTAGTCAATTAGCCAGATGCAGAGGTATTATTGGCTAAACAATTTCTTTATTTATTTAAAAAATAATTTTTTTATTAAATAAAAAAGTAGCCTATAACCATTCGGGGACCATCGGGGGCCACTAAGAATATGTGTACGGATTTGATGTTGACGTAGCTGTCGGTAATACAGTGCGATGGTACTATAGTACTTAGGTGTGAGCTGAGTAGTCAAATAACCAGATGCAGAGATGTTAGTGACTAAACAATTTCTTTATTTTATTTAAAAAAATAATTATTTTTATTAAATAAAAAGTAGCCTATAACCTATCGGGGACCACTAAGAATATGTGTACAAATTTTTATGATGATCTGTTAAGTAGTTTTTGCGTGAAAGCACGATAAACTTCAGGACATACGCATTTATAATATTAGTAAGGATAGTAAGGATAATACACATATTGTTTCATTTTGTGTTTTGGACAAAGTGGTTAATTATTATCTATGATCATAAAGTATTGCACGTGACGCCATTCGGGGTGTTTTAGTGTGTCCCACTAATATCATTTGCCCTTGAAAGGGTGGCCAAAGTTCGTCGAAGCGCCCTATCACCGAGGTGACGGTTCTGTACAGGAGAATTTTTTGCATCGACTATAAAATAGGGAGGAACATAATTTGCCACATTCCAAATCTTTTTGACAGAACGAAGTCTGTCGGGTCCGTTAGTAATTAATAGTTAATAAAAAACTAAAAATTCAGGGTTGTATGTATTTTCAATGCCACATTAATGAAATAAAAACAAAAAATTTCGACCAAAATTTAAAAAAAATTTAAGAGTGAACAACCCTTATCACATAGAGATATGAAAAATAGATAGTTGCCGATTCTCAAACCTATTGAATACGCATATAAAAATTTTCTTTGAGCGGGATGAAAAATGAATAAATTACTAAAATGGCTATAAAAAATAGGGGTTGGTGATAAAAAACTAAAAATTTAGGGTTGTACGTATTTTTAATGCCACATTAAAAAAAAAAACAAAAAATTTCGACCAAAATGTAAAAAAAATTAAGGGTGAACAACCCTTATCACTTAGAGATATGAAGAATAGATAGTTGCCGATTCTCAGACCTACTTAATACGCATATAAAAAATTTCTTCGAGCGGGATGAAAAATGATTAAATTACTAAAATGGCTATAAAAAAATAGGGGTTGGTGATAACAAAGTAAAAATTTAGGGATGTATGTATTTTTTAATGCCACATTATAAAAAAATAAAAACAAAAGGATTCGTCCAAAAATTTAAAAAAGTTAAGGGTGAACAACCCTTTTCACTTAGGGGTATGAAAAATAGATAGTAGCCGATTCTCAGACCTACTGAATACGCATATAAAATTTGTAGCCGTTTCGGAGGAGTACGGAAACAAACACTGTGACACGCAAATTTTACATATATAGAAGATAATTCGAACCGAAAAGGCTTTAAAAGGCACATATTTGAAATATTGGAACTCTTTTGAAAATAAATTATATATGCGAACATAACCTATTATGACAAAATTTGATTAAATTTTTAGATTGCTTGTAATTTTTAATCATTATTGAAATTTTATGTTTAATTATTTTCCCAAAATATGAAATTTCTCAACTTTGTGAGAATAATTTATGTCCAATTGATTTGCTCATTTGTAAGTTAATATTTTTTAGACTACCACCAAAAATAGAAGAAGTGATGTATTATGGACTGATTTACATGATATTTGTCTTTGAGTTGTTTCTATATTCATTTTGTGGAGCCATAATTGAAGGAAAAGTAATATTTCACTACTTCTTAGCATTTTCATTACTTTAACACGTAAATGATTTTTAGATTAGAAATTTAGCAAATGATATTTTTTTGCAAGTTAACTGGTATGATCAAGGAAGAACCAACTTGAGAAAGGATTTATCCTTGATGATTTTCCGTGCCCAAAACTCAAAAATTTTGAGTGCAGGAAAAATGTCGGATTTAAATTTACCACTCTGGATTGCCGTAAGTAACATAAATAATTCAGTATGGAATAGGTATAATACCTATTCGTAAATTATTTTCTAGACAATGAAAAATTCGTTATCCGTGTTTACGTTAATTTGGCAACTCTCACAAGAGCAAGGACACGGTACATCATTGTAAATAAATAGTTACTATAATAAGGAATTTTACGTACATAATGAATATGTTACTTTATACATTTTTAAAATATACTTAGAATATTAAATTATGCATTGATATATCTAAGTAAAGTTAAGTAAACACTTACTGTACGCTATACCCTCACAATATCGCTGAAACGATATTTTTACTAAACCATTGATGAGACCTCTAATGGTCGAAATAGCTATCCACATCAGGCTTGACAAATACTTGCATTGACTTGCAATGGTTTAGTAAAAATATCGTTTCAGCGATATTGTGAGGGTATAGCGTACTTAACTTTACTTAGCTTATATTCACCCTCTCGTACTACCATTGTATTTCAAGCATTGATATATCTGTTTTACTTTTATGTTTTATTTTACATTTACATAACATTTAATTCTCTTTTTTGATCATATCATTTTCGATAATTTTTTAGTAGTCGGCAATTAATCGGCATATAGCTAATATTTTGGATACTTAAATAAATTCAAAATAAATTTGGCAAAATAGCAAGAAACAAACAACAAAATGTACAGATGCAGATGCCGATACGAAAAAACATGCCCACATTATTTAAAATTGCAATAAAATACGATAACAATCTAGAATAGAAATTAAAATAAAGAAATTGAAATTTGCAGGAATCGGAAATAAATAAAATAAATAATAGTGTATGCAAATAGTTTTCCTTAATGAAAATTAATTTTGTTGATAAATCCTAATATATAAACTACTAAAACCCAGAAATAGTTTTATTAATAACAATACAAATTACTTAATATTATGATAAAAACTCGTTGTCTCACACTTAATTATAGGAATTAGGCAATGACAGTTTGAGGACTTTTTACCAAGTTTTTACCCAATTATATGAAACATACGACTATAGTAATTGAACTAACTTGATTCAACATATATAATTAACAATAATTGTACGTACGAGAATGTTCTTCCAAATTCTTGTCGTCTAGTGAAGGTAAGCATAATGAAACGACTAAGCACTCATATTACTTTGAATTCAAGTAATAATGCCGTCTACGAATACTTCAAATCAAACTAGTGCCTTAAAATTGATGCTAAGAATGTTTGTTGTAATGGGTGGATATCGAATGAAGAAAAATATTTTAAGTTATTTTTCAATGATATCAGTTACACTATTAGTCATGCACATGTTTCTGGATCTGGTCCTCAACTGGAATGGAATGGAAACTTTAAAACGCGTCAAATTTTTACCCAGCATATTCCTGGTAATAAATAAATATTTATATCCATATAAGATATATTATTCTATTAACCATAAAATGTATATAATTTTCAGTGCAATATTAAATCGATATCCGTTATCGTAAATGCAAGGAAATTGATTCATTTGGTAAACATGCTAAAACTGTTTTGGCGCATTGACATGCTGGATAAGCCATTACAAGATAAAATGTTAAAAATACGCAAATATACCAACATCATTTGTGCATCGTATATTACCGCATGTTTATTTCTTTGTCTTGCGTTTTTCGCTAAACCTTTCATGGAGACAAATGAAATAATACTGGTTTTATGTGATTATTCGTTGTGTGATTTACAATCGGCTTGGTGTTGGTGGCCAATGTACATTTGGCAAGTTTATGTTGTTGCATTACAAGTGTGTCCTTCAACATTAGGATTTGATTGTATCTTTATCATCTTCACTGGATATATTTACACAGCGTGTCAGTTATTTACATACGGATTACAACAATTGAACGTTGAGGATTTTACACAAAGAAATGATTTCCTTAAACTTGCAGTTTTGCAACATGACATAATGATGACTTTTGTGAATCTGGTTGATGATTTGTTCAGTATGGTAATGTTACTGCAATTTTGGTGTTCATTATGGTCAATGATATTGTTTCTCAATATGCTTGTGGCTGATGGGTAAGATTATACGTCTTTTAATTTTAATATTTTTATAATTTGTTTTATTGTTAGTTTTCCACCAAAATTTGATGATGCAATAATTTATGGCACTATGTACATGGTATTTGTTTTCCAAATATCATTATATTCAGTTGGTGGTGCAATAATTGAAGACCAGGTATTTATTCATATCAAATGTAATGAGATTTATTAAACTTTAAATTTATTGTTTTTTTTTTAATAGATTAGAAATGTATCTGGTAATATATTTTTGGTGGTTAATTGGTTTGAAAAAGGACGTACTAGTTTAAGGAAAGATTTGTCATTGATGATTCAACGAGCACAAAATACCCGAGTTTTGAGTGCTGGTAAAATGTCAGAATTGAATCTGGCATTATGGATTGTTGTATGTGAATAATTTTGTTTAAAATTCAGTAAAAACATTAATATTTATGATTCCAGACAATGAAAAATTCGCTTTCTGTGTTCACGTTGATTTGGCAACTTTCGAATGCTCCGCATGCTGAAATTGATTAATATTTTTTTAAATTTTTATATTACCTACATCAGTTTTGCTCGCAATTTCATTTGATTGATTTTAATATAAAGTACTCTAAATACTTACTTTTTTTTACCTAATTAGACACACAATTTTTTATTATATATATAATTCGAATTATGATTGAGGTATCACATCAATGTTGATCCTATATTATACCCTTTAAGTTAAATTTTGCCGACAAAAGTAGCCTATGTTATTCTTCTATGTCAAAAACATCTATATACAAAAATTTATCAAAATTGCTACAGTGGTTTATGCGGGAAAGCGTCACAAACATACATACACCACTCATTCGTTCCTATAAAATAAATTATTATAATTCTTATAATTTTTGAATATTTATATAATTCTAATATTTGCATAACTAAAAATTATAATCAAACTTGCGTATTTCATAAAATCAATTCCAATTACATTACAATTTCAAGAATTCATTGACTGGATCGACTACAGGCCTTATTATAGACTATTAAGAAACTAACTACTAATTTGAATAAAAAAAACTATATAACAACTTGAACTTTCTACTACGTTCGGTTAAATAAAACATACCCAATAAAATATAATTACATACATGATTATTAGTAGAACTCGATGATTCTACATCGCATTTAGTAGGGTAATAATGCGACCAAGTACTGCATCGAATCAAACAAAAACTCTAAAATGGATGCTACGACTCTTTCCTCTAATGGGTGGATATCGTACAAAGAAAAATATACTTAGTTACTTTACAATATTATCTGGATGTTTACTTGTATTCCATATGTTTTTGGATTTGGTTCTTTACTGGGATGGAATGGAGACTTTGAAACGTGTCAAATTTCTTCCAGGAATATTTTTGGTATAGGTATTCACATTGGTTTTAATATACAATAACAAAATTTAATTTTCAGTGTAATATTAAGGGAATTTTCAGTATATTAAACTCAATTAAGTTGATTGAGTTAGTAAAAATGTTGAAATACTTTTGGCGTATAGACATAGCCGATAAACCGTTACAAGATAAACTTATGAAGATACAGAAATATATTACATACATTTCTGCATCGTATATTGTCGCATGTATATTTTTATGTGTTGCATTTTCGCTTAAACCTTTTTTTGAAGAAGAGGCAATAATACTGATTATATCTGATTACGCGTTGTGTGATTTGCGAGCGGCTTGGTGTTGGTGGACGATGTTTATTTGGCAATGTTATGCTATTTCATTTCAAATCGCACCTTCAACTCTGGCAGTCGATTGTATTTTTGTTATCTTCACTGGATATATTTACACAGCGTGTCAGTTGTTTACGTATGGTTTGAAAGAGTTGAATGTTGAAGATTTGACACGAAGACGACATTTTTTGAAACTTGCGGTTATGCAACACGATGTGATGATGACATTTGTTAGTATGGTTGATGGTTTGTTTAGTATGGTTATGTTACTGCAGTTTTGGTGCTGTTTATGGTCAATGATATTGTTTCTTAATATGCTGGTATCTGATGGGTGAATATTAATATTTTGGATTTATATTATACATTTGTCCGCGACTTCATCTTTGTAGTTTGTAGTAAAAATTTAATTACTTTTTTTTTAATTTCTTGAATTGAGTAGGGGTTAATTCCCTCAATAAGAGTCGCAGTTTTATGTTAAAGAAAAAGAATGGTTTACCAGTTTACCGCCATCTCTGATAGAATTATTCAACTCTAACTATGATTAAATCTTTGTATTAACTTTCATTCCATATATAACATCTTTTAAATTATAATTACCGATTTCTGAATGGTTATTCTGTTATTCCAGATGAAGATGAATCCAACAAATTATAAATTATCAAAATTTTTCCCGCCGTTCTTGAGTTATAAATGTTGTAACTAACACGACTTTTATTTTTTGTTTTCAGATTTCCTCCAAAATTTGACGACGCTATTTTCTACGGTATAATGTATTTATTATTTGTTTTTCAAATAACATTGTACTCAGTAGGTGGTGCAATAATTGAAGACCAGGTAAATATTGTTAATAAATTTTTTTCGCAAAAAATGATTCATTTTTATTACTTATTAATAGATTCGAAATGTATCTGACGATATATTTTTGGTTGTGGAATGGTTTAAAAAAGGCCGAACTGATCTGCGTAAAGACTTGTCCTTGATGATTCAACGAGCTCAAAACACACGAGTATTGAGTGCTGGTAAAATGTCGGAATTGAATTTGGCACTATGGATTGTTGTAAATTAACTAGTCAATGAAATATTTACATTTGTTTTTAAATAATGAGTGTGTTTGCAGACAATGAAGAATTCCCTTTCTGTGTTCACGTTGATCTGGCAGTTGTCTACTACTCAAGAGATGGATGATTAATTGGATATAAATCTAAAAAAGTTCCTATATTCTTCTTTATTTGTGTTTTTTAGAGAAGATGTATGAAGGTTTAAATAAAGATGTTTTTATTAGTTTGCCCATTAGTAGTTTTAAGCCCTACCCATGCCCTCCCCTTTTCCTACATTAGTAAGTTCAAGTCCTACATTTTCCTTGCATTATTGGTTAAAACCCTACCCGAATTTCTAAACTATTCTCATTTCTCCTTTTACCGTTTACACAAGTAGGTTTAAGCCTTACTTAAATCACTTCCTCTCTTAATGGTTGTAATAATAAGTTCAAGCCTTACCTAGATTCGAAACAAGTTCCCATCCCAGTACTAAATAACTTATATTTTACTATTTTATATTTAATTTAAAATAAATTACTATTTTCACAATATACACAATGAAATTTGTTAATTTAAATCTTAACTTAAAATTGTTAATTGACAAAAATTCAATAATAAAATCAAGAAAAATCTACATTTTAAAAAAGGTTTTGAGTCAAAAAAAATATCCCGTAGAACGTCTCCCAACCCCACATTCATTTAGGTGAATGTGGAATCGGTAGAAAAATGGTCTGAAATATACACGAATTGACCGGTTTACGAGTATATGAAAAAATATTTTAGAAGTAATCGTAATATATTAAAAGGATAAGCATCAAACAAGAAGAGTTTAGTAATTTGTATTTTTGTCGGTGAATTCTTGGAAGTCTCAAATATGTATCCACCCTAAATAAGCATTTCTATAAATTTTATGTATCATAGATATATAGCGGATATGAAAAGGTTACGAACTTACATATCCATTATCCAATTATATTTGAAACGATACCATTATGAAACTTGGAACAGTATATTATCTTATTGCTTATTCATATAGACATTCACTGAGTACTTCCACATTATGATGTACAGTAGCGCAGTGACACGATGGAAAACGTCGAAAATACAGGATATAAACAATTGCCAATTTTAAAATGGACGATAATATTTTTGAAGGTTATGGGCGCTTATCGCATTAAAAAGAACATATTAAGTTACTTTACCATGGTTTCCCTAGTTTTTCTTGTCTTTCAAATACTATTGGATATGGTGTTAAATTGGAACGGAGTAGAAACTTTAAAAAGAGTCGTTTTCCTTCCATCTATGGGTCTGGTATGAATGAACAATTATTTACAATTACAAGATAATATGTTACATATAATATTACTAATTTTTAGACTACCATTAAAGGAGTATTTTTAATTACACAATCAAACGATTTTATAAATATTTTTGACTTATTAAAATACTTCTGGCCAATTGATATGTTCCAAGAAGAATCATCGAAAAAAATGAACAAAACGATAGTATTAATAACTCGCATTTGGATAAGTTATGTGGGAATGGTTTTTGGATGCTGTCTCTTTATGTCTCTCTTGCCTTTTCTTGATTTTGAAGGCAGAACATTAATGTTCAGTGATTTTGCATTCTGTGACTTGAAGGCTAGTCTTGTCTGCTGGGTAATAAACTATAGTTGGCAATTTTTCTTGTTATATTTTCAAGCATTACCAGCATGTTTGGGATTTGACTTAACGTTTATTATTTTAACTGGCTACATTTTCATTGGGTGCCAAATGATTAAAATGGGATTGAAAAGATTGAATACTGATGATGTAGTGAAAAGGAAGTTCATACTTCGTAAGATTGTTGATCAACACGATTTTTTGCTAAAATTCGTTGCGACAATGAATGATATGTATACCCGGATGATGTTTATGCAATTTTATTGTTCATTATGGTCCTTGATTTTGGTTTTATATATGATTGTAGCTGATGGGTAATACTAGATATAAAATATATGAAGCATTATATGCCAAATCGGAAAGTCAGCTTTTTCAGTTTTTTTAGAAATCAACATTTTTTCACAATTTATTTTAAAATTGAGGAAATATAATTTTGATATTTTTATAATCATTTTCATTAAAAACTGTGTTTACTATTGCCAAGAGAAATATCTTCAATTCGTAATTTTTGGGTAAAATGAGGGAATTAGTAAAAATAGACATAATAAAAACTTTGAAACTTTATATCTTGGAAATCGCTAGTTCAAATTTGTAATTAAAAATTCTTTCACAACCGATGCAATAACATAAAAAATCAGAAATAATCAAGAATACTACAGAAAATATTAGGAGTCAAATATTTCCGGATTTTGGCATAAAATGTCTTATGTTCCTACATATACGAGTCTAAAAAATATATATTATAATTATGTTATTTACAGGATGCCTCCAAAGTTAGACAGTGTCACTTACTTTGGCTCTCTTTACTGGGCTTTATCATGTCAATTGTTTATGTATTCGTATAGCGGTACTATAATTCAAACGCAGGTATAAATGGTTTAATAAACTTCATTGAGTTTTTTTTTTAAATACAATTTTTAGATTCGTAGTTTGTCAACTGATATTTTCAACGTGGATTGGTTCAAGAAAGACAGTACGCATTTACGGGAAGATTTGGCTTTAATGGTATTACGAAGTCAAAATGCAAGGATATTGAATGCTGGAAAAATGTCAGACTTAAATTTGGAACTTTTTGTGGTTGTAAGTATTATAATCTAGTTCTGTTGTGAGTTTCATTTGAAATCTGTTATTTTGAAATTCTAGACGCTTAAAAATTCATTCTCTGCGTTTACGTTAATCTGGCAAGTATCGACAGCTGAACCTGAAGCATTAATAATATAAATATATATTGTTACTTTTTAAATTTTTATAAAAGTTATAAAAGTACAGAAGAATAATAAATCTATCTTGTTTAAAAGTATATTTAATAATTTAATATTTAATTTAATCGTTTTGTATATTTTTTGTGTTCTGTTTGTATTCTTTTATAGAACAGAAATCAATTTTCCTAAACGTTAATTATTATGACATACAATAAGGTAATAATGACTAAAATAAAGAGAGTAGGGTAATTTTATATTACAATTTATGTACAATTTGATAATTTGATAACTAATCATTAATATGATGTACCTATCACTTCAGATTTTAAGTAATATTTTTTTACTTCCACATATAAATCGTGATACTTTAACCACGGACGGCCAAGTCAGTGACTAAAGTACATTAATCACGTATATTTCCGTAGTCTAAATATTTGGACGTTTGCAGCTTAAATATTTAGATACCGTTTACTTTAACACACAATTAGACCTATTAAACTCCTATTATATTTTCATCAATCTTTTTTTATTTTAAAATAAAATATATTATTATTTATCTAGAATGTGCAAGCCACAAACGATTTTAACGGTAATGTCGATCAAAGTATCAATAAGAAAATTAAGGACCTTTAACTGTTAGCATGAAGACTGAAAGCTGTTAGGTTAATGAAAATATTATATTATACAATATTATTTAGCCATAATTAGGCACGGGCTGCATAACATTGTACTAAGTAAAAAACTGTCCTTTAGTGTTATAACGATCATAGTGTAGTAGAATAAAGTTATATTCTATTTTGATGCAAAAACCATACAAGCACTATAAACTACCTACAATTGATAAAATTAATGTTATAAAAATTACAATTATATGTACATGTACATATTGTACATATGTACATATAAATACAGAAGATCATTATACACATGAACATCGTTCTTTCCCATACCAAAGAATATTAATAGTTTACCAAATTAAAGTTAAAATCCGCAACAATTTCATTCCCCCCCCAATCAAAATGGTATTGTATTTAAATATTTTAGCCAACTTGATTATCAACTCTTATTTCAACAATTCCAAATGTATTGTACACTATCACGATAATTCAGATAACTTAGTACATTTCAACGACGTTGTCACTTATCACCTTACAGAAGAACAAGATATGGGAATAGTGTATGATGAGTATTGTAGTCACTTCCTAATACAACATGAAAATACTACTTTTGCTTTAGAAGAAATTGAACATTTCATTAAAATGAATGAGAATTATACCTACAGTGACAGAAAATACATAATAATAGTACACACCGAAGAGGATTTGAATATTTTGTTCGAATCTAATTTATTCATATTCATTAGAGATGTATTGATCATTTTAGCACGTTTTGCCGATGATGATGGTGAAATTTTTGGTCCGTTTACAATTTATGATACAACATTCGATTTATTCACTCATAAATATGTTGGTGAGAGTGATCAAAATGATATAATATTATTAGACACTTGGTTTTCTACAAATCTTAGCTTTAAGTTGGGCAATAGTTTATTTCCTGATAAGATTTCTAATCAATTAGGACGAGAATTACGTGCTCCATGTTATTATCATACTCCGTATGCTGTTTGTGAGGAGGGTAAGTAATTAACATAAAAGTAATGTGTAATCCGAGAAAAATAAATTATTGTTTATGTAGAACCTCCATTTGGCAGTGAGTTTAATGTCATTATTAAATATGCTCAAAGATATAACTTGACTTTAAACGCAGACGAGATTTATGATAGAGATTACGGGTATTCTTATAGTAATGGAACCAGAGATGGTTTTATAGGAACGCTGGTATCTGATGATGATAGTTATAATGATATTATTTATGGTGGTTTTCCTCTGTGGTGGTTGGTCGATGGGGTGGAAAGTGTTAGGTTCACTTATGAAGTATCCGTACCTATTCCAAAGTATATATTAAATTCAATTTCTTAAAGTCTGTGTGGTGTTAGAATTTTTTTGTTTTGACATATTTTGCTTATTGTAAATAGAAGTTCAAAAGTATCTATCCACATTATATCAACAAGAAAGTTATTTCTGGTCAAGCGTATTTTAAAGCAATATTTAAAATTGCTGTTTATTAAAAATGGTAACTCGAACGAAAAAGTGGAGGAACGATTCTTAAAAAAAAGTACATATTCAACAATTTTAGTTTGATCTATTTTTGTTATAAAAGTAGTCGTGGAGTTAAAAATGCAAAGAAATAATTTTTTATTTCTATGGGCACAATTTTTTTGTTGATGAGGTGTGGATCAAGACTTTTAATCACAAATTTTAAGCTTCATGAGAATAAATCGAAGCTTTTAGCGTTTGTGATGTCCATAAAATAATATTTTAGCATTAAATGTATTTCTTTTTAGTATAAAATATGGCTACTTCACGTTGGTGGATGTCTTCACATTTTATGTTTGGCTTGCTATTTTAATTTTATTTCTGCTCATCAGAGGAGCGGTGTTCTGGTACTATTTTCTCATCTCAAAAGTTAATAATCGAAAAATACGAGGTAAAAATAACTCTTCCTCACTCGGGAGCCTAAAAATTTATGCGTTTTTCTTGAGTCAGTCACCAAATGTATCTGACATTAAAAAAAGTTACTTTATCAAGTACATCGTAATGCTTATGTTGATGTCCAATGTATGGATAATAACAGCTTACAATTCTCGCTTGTCAAGTGTTATGGTAGCACCAATATACGAAAATAATATCAATACACTAGAAGAACTAGCTAGTAGTGATCTCGCACTTTTGTTTTTTGATAGGTACTTTGGTGTTTTATCGGAAGATGAATCTGTAAGTACATTTATTAAGTACAATTAGTACAATTAGTATTATTAAGTACATAATTTATTACAAGAAAAGTAAATTTTATGGATTTAAATTACAGTTTGTTTATTCAACTTTGTATAAGAAAAGCTTTGAAATTGCTAATAATACAGACTACGCCTTATCAGAAAATTTGCTGTCTAGTCGAAAATACGCGGTAGGTCGTTATCGCCGCAACAATGGACAATATTATGAAGATGAAGAACATCTTGAGCAAATGTATAAAAAACTCTTCTATGATCATTATTACATAATGCTGCGTCATAGTTCAATACATACTCCACTGCTTAAAAATCTAGTAATGAATGCTAAAGAAGTTGGTTTAATGAAAGTTTGGGAGGATCAGGTGATTAATAAATTACTTTTAGTTTTTATTTAATTTTTTTCATGCAATTACATTCAATATTTATATATTTATTTTTAATTATTTGTTGTGCTACACAATTAATTTTATTGCCAACATGCCACGCCTAATTGGCGAAAGTTGAAGATGTCAATATTAAAAATGGATCGAAATAATAAATTACACATTGTAAAAGTTAAATCTTATATTTTTGATTATTCCAGGCTTTAAGAGTTGAGAATAATACTTATTTTCATCAGAAAATACAAGATTATACAAGCGAGAATGAAAATATTATTTTGAACATCCAGCATTTGAAAGGTATTTTTGTATTTTGGGCATGTGGACTAGCTGTCTCTTCGATAATATTTTTTAAGGAATTTTGTAGCAAATATTAAAGTGTTTCGTTGATTATATCTTATTACAATTTGTTCAGGAACACATAAGTTAGTGTTGAAATTGTATTTTTGTGCTTATGACGTTTTATGCCTTTAAAATGTATTCCCTGAGTGCAACACACCATATTGATTGTTATTTTGCTGCACGATTAAGACATTTTTGTTCAATAATAATAATGCAAGAAAATATATAATAATTATATTAATATACTTTAATAAATGGAGGAGAATCCGGCGACTTGTTCATATCCAAAATATTGAGTATTATTAGAAATGTTTTGGTTATTATTCCTCGTGGCATAGAAATAACGGAAATCCATATGCACTGAATTCAATGCAGCCGATTATAAATACAACTTCTGTTCAATATTTATTATAAATTAACTAATTTCCATAGCATGGTCTCAGGTTATATTATTTTGAAATAATGTGATATTTTACTTGTGATGTTTGCGTTGATTATTTTGCCATAAACTAATTAAACCAACTCTTGCACCTAGCCGACGAGTGCGTGCTCGATTCGTTCTCGATTGTTATAGTTGGTGATAATTGTAAATAATAGTGGCTTACCTTTGTGCCGTACCATGTTTACAAGTATTTGGTTATTTGTTTCACCATTGTGGGAAATAGTGCCAGCATTTTCATTAGAAATTTACTTTACATTATTTTATTATTTTGCACGATTAATTTTTTTAATTTCAAACTGTGTGAAAGTGCTAATTTAGCAAATTTAAAATTAAATTAAAGTATTAATGAAAAATGGTTCGTAAAAGAAAAAATATTATTAACTGAAATATTCAATAAGCCTGGAACACGTATTTGTATAAACCGACATGTGCCTATTATTGCTATTATTCAAATATGCGCCGTACTTGCATTTGCATATTAAATTTGTTTATATTTTTAACCGCTTCACTTTCAACGCTTCACAACATCAACAATTGTGCGATCATCATGCAGCTATACCTAAACATGTTGGTTAATATAATTGTCCAAAGATACTTTAATGATTCCACATGCATATTACATTATTACGACAATCTGACAGATCCAGTACACTTAGAAAGCATTCCAACTATCAAGAGCGAAATTTGGGGAGAGAGAAATTTACTATTCGACGACGATCGAAAATGTAGACATTTCTTATTGCAGTGTGTGGCAGCAAAATATACTTTCGAAATGACTGAATATCTGATTAAGAAAAAGAATGAAGGTATGTACAACAACCGGAAGTACATGATCATTATAGAAGATATAGAAGAACTAGAAGATTTCTTCGAATCAATTTATTTGACATTTATCAGAGATGTACTAGTTATTTACGCACCTAACTATAATATCGAGGACGACAATAAAACAGTGGATATTTTTATGTTCGGTGATGATAATTATCAAGGAAACGCAAATGAAACGATTACCAAATATTATTTATTCACTCATAATTACGTTGGTTGGTATGAATATGATCATCCAATTTGGTTGAATACTTGGCACTTTGGAAATAAAAGTTTTCAACTGGAAAATAATTTGTATCCAGACAAAGTTACGAATCAGTATGGACGAGAATTAAGAGTAATTTGCTCTTCCTTAATTCCATATGCATCGTGTGAATCAGGTACGTAATTATTTTATTTTAATTTGATAACTAAGTTGATGGGTGAAACCAATTATTTTAAGATCCTCCGATTGGTAATGAATATAACATTGTAATTAAGTACGCTCAACGTTTCAATTTAACATTGCGTTTGTACTATTCTCCAACATCTGATTGGTCTAACACTAATGAATTTGACAGTGTAAGATACACGACTGAAAACTACACTGATTTAGTGATTGGTGGTTTTCCTAAAAGGCTTGATTTAGACTTAATTAAAAGTGATACTTATACTTATGAAGCATCCGTACCTCTCCCAAAGTATGTTGTTTTTAATAAGTTTTTAAACACAGTTTCAATTGTTTGTTATTTTAAGCATAAAGTATGGTATATTTATGTTTTTGGAAGTTTTCGATTTATTTGTTTGGCTTGCCCTTTTGCTGGTTTATATATTTATACGAGGATTAGTATATTTGCATCATCGATATCAAAGGAAACGTTTTATCAAAGTGATTGACTTTCGGCTCAGCACCTTAACCATATATGGACTTTTAATCAATCAACCTGTATCTTCTAGCGACGTCGAACGGAGTAAATTTCTCAAATTCCTTGTAATAGTGTTGCTGTTTGCAAGTGTATGGTGTGCCACGGCTTACAGTTCGAGATTATCTAGTATTATGGTAACCCCAATGTATGCAAACATATCAATATCCAAAACAAGTCTACATCGAATATTGTTTTTAGATTAGAAAACAATATAGATACTCTCAGTGAATTGGCTGATAGCAATCTCAAACTTCTGTTTTTTGACAGGTATCAGGATACTCTAAGGGCCGATCAAAGAGTGTGTTGCTTATTATGAAATATATTACTTTCTTAATGCTTTCTTTGTAGAAAGTGTACCAACGTTTATTTGAAAAGGTAACTCTTATTCCTAATAATCGTGATTTTGAGCTTTCTGCGGCAATGCTATCGAGTGGAGAATAGGCTGTTGCTCGATGTCGGCGAGCTACAGGCGAGTATTTTGAAAAAAAGTCGCACTTACAACAAATGTACGGCAAATTTAAACCGGTCACTCCTGTGTTGTTTACTAACTATTACTATTTTCTATTGAGAGAAAACTCAATGCATACCTACGAATTGCAAAAGCTTGTAAACAGTGCCGAAGAAACTGGACTGATGCTGTTCTGGCAGGAAGACGTGAGTATGCATAGTTTATTGCCTCGAAATCTATTTTGTGTTCAATTTTTTGGCAGGGATTAAGAACTGAAATGAAAAGCACATTTCAAAAATTAATGCAGGATTTATCACATGATAATAAAACTGTCATTTTGAACATGCTTCATTTGAAGGGAATTTTTGCATTTTGGGCATGTGGCCTGTTGATTTCTTTCTTCACATTTTTAATGGAATTACTACTTAAAGAGACTTGCATTGTATTTATGTGAATATCAAAACATGTCGAGATTGGTATTGAGATTATTATGAAAAAAACGAGGACCTTTTACTAGTATAGGTACATGAACTTAATCACGTGATGCTTACGCTATTTTATTTACTTCTAGTATATTTCCACTAGAAGGAAATGATCAAGTTTAAATAGATAATATTAGTTATTTATAATAACACCATTAATTATTAATTTTGAAATATATTTTTTTTATTATACGTAAAATGTATTTAACATAGAAACTTGCATTAAATGTTATTTGTAAGTACGATTCATGAAAAGTTCAAATGAGAAGTGTATTGGAGTACACTGATCTTTGGACATACGTCATTGACGAAGAATTAAAAATTCAAAATAAAAAAGGGGTGGACCCATAAGGATCAAAAGGATTGGGCCTTGCTTACACTCAGCGTTACTCGTGGTCAGTTTAATCATATTGAAGATCCACATACATACTTGTAAATTAGAATGGTCATAATTTAAAGATGATACATTGTGAGTGCTATGAATAATAATGAGGTGTTATATCCAGAGTGCTACGAGTAATATCAAGCCCAGCTAGATCTTCCAGCGCGATCCTTTTTTGTTCGATTCGTATGAATCGAGTGATCCATGAGTATCAACAGGCGAGGTTTCCTTATTGCGGTTAGCGTTTGAAAACGGCATTCAGTTCGAGTCTGTTTCATTGAACAGTAGTGAGTACGAGTCAATCAGCAACGAGAGCCAGGGCCAGAGTCACAATTGTAGGAAGAGACAAAGGCAGTGAGATTCAGGGAAGACTATTATTTAGATATTTAGCGTGTAGAATAACGTATTAATTTGCATTTACATTAGAATAAAGCATCCTATCCTCTAACAAAGATATCTTCAAATCGAAAGGATTGGTATGTAAAGAAACGTTTGATAAACTATTGCAGTATCAATTTGGGCATAACCAAAATGCTGAGACAAGCAAATTCGAACAAGAATATTCTTGTCGATAGAAAGAATATTCATCTGCCTGATGATGCCACAGTGTGGCGAAACATGTCTCAGACTAGTAAAAGTTTCAGTGAAACCCGTAAGGTTTATCCTTTCTATCGACGATTACAATGGAGTTTCATCACGTAAGTGCCACCTCAATTCATTATTTAAGAATATTCTTGTTCAATGCATGCAACTTAAATGTTTTCAGTTTTCTACTTCTTAAGTCGTCGACTCGGGAATTCGTCAGTCACATTCGTATAAATACGAATATATACGAAAAAATGACATGCTGGTTTAATGAAAGTACAAAATTAATTATTTTAATTTGTGATGCAGTTATCGGCGTTGTACATACCACATTTGAAAAATACAATTATTTTTCTATATAAAATTACACGACAAAAAGAGAGGTACTTACTTACTCATGTTTTTGTATGTAATATTTTTTACACTTTGAAGAAGTACATTAACACCAGTGTAAAATTCAAAAATTTGGATACCCTGCAAGAACAAGAAAGGGCCGGGATCAAATTGAAAATGCAGCTTAAAACTTCTTAAAATGAAGAAATTCTTATAAATCTATTAACTGCCTTTTAGATCTGCGAGTACTTAGGAAACCTTGAGCATGAATCTTTTTGCATCCAGTAAGTATTTTCACTAAGTAACAAACAAATTGCTTACTCTATTTTTTATCAACTATTTTTATATACTCTCGCTCCGCGTACTGGCTTGGTTTGGTGCCAAGCTCGGCACCAACAGGACAAGGAGTGGAATATGCATACATCTGCATCAACTGGTGGTACTCCTAGTATACAACGTTGCGAGATGCAAAAACCATATGGCAGAACGCACGAAAAAACGCAATCGTACAGTTGAGTTCGAATTTATAATCTGCCAAAAACTCCTGCACCGCAGTGATGGGATGGAGACTGCCAAGAAAATAAATACTAACGAATCCGAAAATTACAGCTACTACTTGTAAACAATGATAATTCATAAATCAAAATTGTAAAATCATATTTTATTACAGAACGTGCATTTGCTGAAATAAAATATTTCTCTTTTTTATGTTCGAAATTAAATTCGGAATTTTTTATTTTGTAATTTTTCTAATATTTTCTCCTAACATGCCATTTGAACAATTATTGTCGTCTATCTTTTAAATCGATGTCTGAATTAAAATTATGTATTAAAATTAACCGTACCATAAAATTGTCTTCTTTGATAATTGGTGATAAACAGTAATTTTTTAAGTTATGAGTTATGACAAAAATGGCATTTGGATGAGCAGTATAATAATAAAAATAAACTACCCCCTTGTGAAGGGGGGCTCTTAATTATTCAATTAAATAACTTCACTTAATAACACTAAAAGTTTTTTTCAGTAGATGTCAATAACTAAAACGTGTATTCACATGGAGACTTAACAATCAATTATCTCAGGAACGTTTAAAAACTTTCAAATATGTCATATGCCTAAAAAAAATTCCACTGCAATTTTCTCAGAAAGTAATAAAGTTAGAAAAGAATTTTCTTCATTTTGTTCCGATCGTGATAAGGATCTACAAAATGGCAGATTTAGTTTTTCCAATTTCCAAATTTGACCAAAAATGACTTGAAAAGAGTCAAGAAACACTTGACTGTTTTTGGGATCAAAAGTATTTTTTTACGCTAGAAGAAAATTGAAAACGTTAATTGATTGATTTCTCCAAGAGGATGAAAGATATGAAGTCAGTTTTCCGATAACATCACTATTTTGGAAAATGGGTGGTAAATTCAGAATCGATCAAATAAAATTTTCCCAATTTTCCCCAAACTTTCCAAACTGATGAAAAACAATGCCAGAAATTCATTAAATCAGATGTGGTTGCCTTACCTTAATTAGTTTATAAATTACTGTCCATTTTTAATTATTACGTAAGTGATAACTGTAAATTTTAACATGATATATAGTGTAAAATTTAATTCTACATACCAATATGAAACCCGTTTTTTTTATCTCTAGTGATTTTCAAGATACGAGTATGTGCAAAAAACTAGTTTATTCGTTTCCTCTATCATTTCCTAAACAAAAATAAAAATTAGATATTTCAACTTTTTATTACCAAATATAGAAGAACATGTGATTCTACATACTTCATCTTAATAAAATTTTGTTCTAAAATATAGGTTTTAGATAATAATAACTGTAATTAAGTCTGATTTTGTGGGTATTCAAATTTCATACTTTTTTTTAAATTAAAATTGTTCTCGAAATAATCGCAATTTAATTTCGCCGCTTGCACGGGAAAAAAATTTAAAAAAAGTGTGGCCCTGTTGTTTGACCAAAAATATTTTATGATAGTACGTTTGACCCTGTTCTTTGACCAAAAAATTTTTTAAATAAAATTTAATAAAAAATTTTAAGACACTTTCCCAGAGTTAATGAAGTTAAAAAGGTATGCATAGTGTGGAGAAACTCTCGAACTTTTACACGGCTTTGAGAAACTTTAAAAAAAATTAGTTAGTTCATAAGAAATGAGGCGATTTTCACATCATGTTTTTAAATTTTCACAAAATTGCCAACTTTTGATGAGCATTTGAAGGTACTTCCGAAGGGCCTAGATTACTGAAATAAAATGTATCATGAAGGGAGTTTGTTGAACTCCAATATGGTTCTAAAAAATTTCTGAAATGTTAATTAATTCAGGAGATTCTGGGTGTTTTCCACACTATTTTTTAATTTTTTTTGAAAAATGCTAATTTTTACAGGACATTTTAGCCCTTCCAAAAGGGCTAGGAAGTTGAAAAGGTATTCATCGCGTAGTAGAACTTTCCAACTCTGACATAGCCGAGAGAAAAGTTAATAAAGTCAATTAGTTTACGAGATACAGGGTGTTTTCCACACTATGTTTGAAAGGTATGCGTCATGTAGAGGGACTCTCGATTTCTGACATGGCGGTAAGACTCTCCAATAAAAATCAATTACTTCAGGAGATACAAGGCGTTTTTCACATCATGTTTATAAATTTTTATTAAATTGACAATTTAAAAGGGCATTTTAGGGTACACAATGAAATAAAGTTGAAACAATGTGTGGTATTTACACTGGTTGTTTTGCAATATATTAATCGAAACGACACTTGAACCTAGCCAATGAGTGCGTGTTCGATTAGATTCCGATTGTTATCGTTTGTGTTGACCGAAAATAATTGTCGTTTACCTTTGCGCCGTACTACGTTTATAAATATTATATTCTTTGTTTTACGTTTGCAGGAAAAAGAGAATAATTCTAAATGATGAAGCATTATCTTATAACGGAATTTTCACTGAGGGCATTTTTGTCTATTTGCACTGGATTTTATTAAAGAATCTACAATTGTTTCGCCGATGAGTGCACCGTCAGGACTATCAAATTTATATCTTTAATCCGAATTCTTCATAACATAACTGAAACGTCAATAATAGTCATCATGCAGCTATACCTAAACATGTTGGTTAATATAATTGTCCAAAGATACTTTAATGATTCCACATGCATATTACATTACTATGACAATCTGACAGATCCAGTATACTTAGAAAGCATTCCAACTATCAAGAGAGAAATTTGGGGAGAGAGTAATTTACTATTCGACAACGATCGAAAATGTAGACATTTCTTATTGCAGTGTGTAATGGCTCAATATACTTTCGAATTAACTGAAAATCAGATTACCAAAGAGAATGAAGGCATGTACAACAACCGAAAGTACCTAATTATCATCGATAACGAAGAAGCACTGAAAGGTTTTTTTGAATCAATTTATTTGACATTTATTAGAGATGTACTAGTTATTTACGCACCTAACTATAACATTGGGAGCGTCTATGAGACAGAGGACACTTATATGTTTGGAAGTGATAAATATCAAGGAAAGGAAAGTGAAACGATTACGAAATATCATTTATTCACTCATAATTATGTTGGTTTGCATGAATATAACCACGCTATGTGGTTGAATACTTGGTATTATGAAAACAAAAGTTTCCAACTGGAAAATAATTTGTATCCAGACAAAGTCACGAATCAGTATGGACGAGTATTGAGAGTAATTTGTTCTTCCTTAGTTCCATATGCATTGTGTGATTCAGGTACGTAATTATTTTATTTTAATTTTATAATTAAGTTAATGGGTAACGCAAACAATTTCAAGATCCTCCGATTGGTAGTGAATATAACATTGTAATTAAATACGCTCAACGTTTTAATTTAACATTAAGTGTGTACGACTCTCCCAATGATGATTGGACTAACATGGAAGAGTTTAACAGTGTAAAATATACGACTGAAAACTACACTGATATAATGATTGGCGGTTTTCCCTTCCGTTATGATTTGGATTTGATTAAAAGTGATACTTATACTTATGAAGCATCTGTACCTCTCCCAAAGTAGGTTGTTTTTAATAAGTTTTTAAACACAGTTTCAATTGTTTGTTATTTTAAGCATAAAGTATGGTATATTTATGTTTTTGCAAGTTTTCGATTTATTTGTTTGGCTTGCCCTTTTGCTGGTTTATATATTTATACGAGGATTAGTATATTTGCATCATCGATACCAAAGGAAACGTTTTATCAAAGTGATTGACTTTCGGCTCAGCACCTTAACCATATATGGACTTTTGATCAATCAACCTGTATCTTCTAGCGATGTCCAACGAAGTAAATTTTTGAAATTCCTCGTTATAGTGTTGCTGTTTGCCAGTTTATGGTGTGCCACTGCTTACAGTTCGAGATTATCTAGTATTATGGTAACCCCAATGTAAGTACCCATATCAATTTCCAATACAAAATTTCTTAGAATCATTTTTAGATTAGAAAACAATATAGACACCCTGAAGGAATTGGCTGATAGCAATCTCAAACTTCTCTTTTTTGACAGATATGAGCATCCCCTAGCAGCCGATCAAAGAGTGTGTTGTTTATTATAACATATTTATCACTTTCTTAATGCTTTCATTTCAGAAAGTTTACAAGAGGTTATATGAAAAAGTCATTCATATACCCGATAAATTTGATTATGAGCTTTCTGCGGCAATGTTATCGAGCGGAGAATATGCTGTTGCTCGATGTCGACGAGGTACGGGCGAGTATTTTGAAAGAGAGCATCACTTACGACAAATGTACGGCAAATTTAAACCGATCACTCCTAAGTTGTTTACCAACTATTACTATTTTCTATTGAGAGAAAACTCAATGCATACTTATGAATTGCAAAAGCTTGTAAACACTGCCGAAGAAACTGGACTCAGGCGGTTCTGGCAGGAAGACGTGAGTTTTCAATGTTTATTGCCTCAAAATCTATTTTATGTTTGCTTTTTTGGTAGGGATTAAGAACAGTAATGAGGAGCACATTTTTTAAACTAATGCAGGATTTATCACATAATAATAAAAAGGTCATTTTAAACATGCTTCATTTGAAAGGAATTTTTGCATTTTGGGCATGTGGCCTGTTAATTTCTTTTTTCACATTTTTAATGGAATTACTACTTAAGGAAACTTACATTGTATTTATATGAATAGTTGAATACTAAAACATACAGGAATTGACGCGGGGCTTATTATGAAAAAGCAGACGATCTTTTACACGTGTTTACTAGGTACAACACATTACGCCGGAACTCTATACAGATTATCTTTTATTTTATTGTGCAAACATTCCAGGAATATTCCAAAATTGTTAAGTATATAAAATACTGCTGAATAGACTGGGATAATAAAAATTTGATTGACAACTGATACTGTTATGAATCGATTTTTTTCTGAAGCAAAGGCAGTGAATTCTCTTGTATGGTGTTTATGTGACTTATCATGCCATATATTAATTGAAAATTTGTTAGCCACAGTAACTCGCTAGGAGAAGCACCGCAATTATAATTTAATTTATAATACCTTCAACAATATTTTAGGCGTTGTATGGAAACAAGAAGTATGTAAACTAGTGTAAAAATTATCAAATGGGAATAAATTTGAAGTGCAAGGACTTTTATTTTTTTATATCTTGTTTACGAAATTGCTTATTAATGCGACTAATATTGCATTTATATAAATTTTTAAAACATATCGGTTGCGGTCACGTTTCAATGAAAATAACAGTTATAAATAACAACATTACTACTTATTAATATTTAAATACATTTGCCTCATTATGTCTATAATGTAACATATAAAATAGCAATTCACATACATCAAATGTTATTTATAATATAAGTTAATTGCGTTTACTTCATTTTATTCCCACTTTCATCATGCTGTTGTTGAACTTGTTGATTAACACAATTGTGCAAAGTTACTTTAAAAATTCCACGTGCATATTACATTATTATGATTATCTGTCAGATCCAGTACATATAGAAAGTATTCCAACTATCAAGAGAAAAATTAGAGGAACAGATAATTTACTTCTTGACCAAACTCGAAGGTGCAAGCATTTTTTATTGCATTGTGAAGATGCAAGTTTGGCATTTGAATCAACTGAATATGTTATTAAAAAGCGCGATGGAGGTATGTACAATGACAGAAAGTACATAATTATCGTAAATAACGCAAAAGCTCTTGAAATCTTCTTTCAATCGTTTTACTTGACTTTTGTCAGAGATGTATTGGTTATCTACGGATTTCACAACAATACAACTGATCCTTTTATATTTCAAACAAACTCCTCGGACACAATCATCAATTATCATCTATACACTCATAAATATGTCGGCTTGGAAGGAATCAACGAACGTGTCCTATTAGATATTTGGTATCCTGAAAACATGAGTTTTAAGTTTGGTAATAATTTATTTCCGGATAAAATCAGCAATCAACAAGGGCGAGAATTGAAAACAATTTGTTATACGACACTTCCTTACGCGATTTGTGGTCATAGTGAGTTTTGTTTCTACTCCATATTTAAATGTTTAAATAATTTTTCCTTTAAGAACCTCCAATTGGTAACGAGTATAACATTATAGTAAAATATGCTGAACGTTTTAATATGACAATATCTTCAAATGGCAGTGCAGATTTGACAATTGCCGAATTTGCATTTATAACATTAATAACCGAAGATGAAGACTATATTGATGTGGTTTTGGTGGTTATTCGGATTTGGATGACTTGGATCTAATTAAGAGCGTAACTTTTACTTATTCAGTGTCTGTACCTCTTCCAACGTGAGTGTCAGTACTTCATTTATAGCCTGAGTTTAAAATAATTTATAATTTTTAGTATAAAATATGGAATCTTGATGTTCTTAGAAGTTTTCGATGTGTATATTTGGCTTGCTCTTCTGTTGTTTTATATTATTATCCGCGGATTAGTATATGCACGTCATAGATACCAAACATATTGTTTAATCAAAGTATCTGGCTCTCATATCACCAGTTTATCTTTGTACGGACTTTTAATCAATCAACCCGCTGATTCAAGCGATATTACAGAAAGTAAAATGCTGAAATATTTCCTTCTGCTTATGTTATTTTCAAATGTATTGTTGGTTACTGCTTACAATTCAAGATTGGCGAGTGTTATGGTATCTCCTATGTATGTATTCACATAAAATAAATTTAAAAAATAAATAAATTTGTTTTAATTTGATATATTTTCAGATTAGAAAACAACATAAATACACTAAGTGAATTAGCTGGGAGTAATCTCAAACTTTTGTTTTTGATGAATATTATCATATTCTTTCTGAAGACGAAAGAGTTAGTTATCTATGAGTTAAAATGTTTAAACTTACAATAACACTATTTTTGCAGTATGTTTATCGTACATTATATGAAAAATGTACTGTGATATCAAATAGAAGCGATTTCATACTGTCCGAAACATTATTATCAAGTGGAGAATATGCTGTCGCACGATATCGTCGTAGTAATGGTGATTATAATGAGGATTCAACTCATTTAAAACAGATGCATAGGAAATTTAAACCGGTCACTCCTGAATTGTTTACAAATTATTATTATATTTTATTAAGAAAAAACTCAATGCACACTTACGAATTGCAGAGACTTGTACAAAGCGCTGAAGAATCAGGGTTGATGAAATTTTGGGAGGAAGATGTACGTCAAGGAAGATATTTGTTTATTGTAATATTAAATTGTTACCATTTTAGGGCTTAAGAATGCGGATGGATACTACATTTCAGAAGGAAATGCAAGAATATTCAGTTGGAAACCAAAATGTCATCCTGAACCTTTTTCATTTGAAAGGGATATTTGTATTCTGGGCTTGTGGCATGGTCATTTCTTCAATTAGATTTTTCTTAGAGTTTTGTGATGGATATAACTCAAAAATATTTCCCCCGTTACAATAGTATATTAAGTATCAAGTGGCTAAACGGGGACTTTACTCACTAGATTTATTGAGAGCAAGTGTAGCGAGCGGTCAATCAATCGAGTGTTTAACAACGTTTAGCCACGTGATGCTTACGTTATTTTTTCTACTTCCACTCTAGTTCCACGTTGAAGTTTATGTATTTCAACTTTTGTATTTAAAATCATCGAAATTTGCTTGCACACTACTACAAAATGTAAGATTAACGTCGCATGGCATTTCTTACGGTCTTGGGCTGCTCTGTAGACCAATGCGCAGGCGCAAGCTCCGTCCCGTAAATAATGTCCGTAGATAATGGATATTACTCACGGCTCGGCCGTCCGTATATAAAGTACCACTTTTTTGTCTAAAAACCGGGGAAAAACTGGCGCTTTATAGGTGGAAGTAAAAAAAGAAATATTACATCATTTATTCTGTGGTTTTCCAATGTTATTAGTTAAAGGTTAATTTATGACTCGAATATTATGTTTGAAGTTGACATATGTAAAACATAAAAAAAAGGAAGATACGAAGATACGTATAACACGGTCGCTTGTTATTTGTATACTTTATATCTTGAAGGTTCAATAATATCTTTTAATTAAGTATTTACGATTTAATAAAGTGTTACATTAATTATTTATTTAAAATTTGTATTATTTCCCAAACACACAAATTGGCGCTGATACTAAATATTTTATTTTGTTCCCTTGATATTTAATGTGTTTAAAATGTATTCCCCGTGCGTGCAACATACTATACTGTTTAATATTTGCACAGAACAGTACAGAAATTTCAATACATTGCATGACCTGCAATCAACTAGCAAACATGCTATTATATCTGAATATTTTGATGGAGCTGATTATTGAAAAGTATTTTAATAATTCCTTATGTCTTCTTCACTATCACGAAAACACTGATAACTTGGTACAATTGAGAAACATACCGATTTATTCAATTAATGGCGAGCAGAATCTCATTCTGGATACAGAACAAATCTGTAAACACTTTCTACTACAACATGATAACGCTAACGAAGCATTGAAATCTGTAGAATATGTAATCGGAACAGATCATAACTGGAATTACAATTACAGAAAATATATTATAATTTTAAACAGCAAAGAAGAATTTGTCAACTTTTACAACTCAAATTTATTGAGCTTTGTCAGAGATGTTTTGGTTATTGTCCCATCCAATTATGACAAAAATGAAACTATTTTTGGATTGAACACTGGGAGTGTTACACAATTTGATTTATACACTCATCGATATATTGGTTTAAACAATAATAATGATCCAATGTTGTTAGACACATGGTTTTCTAAAAATTTAAGCTTTAAATTTGGTAATGATTTATTTCCTGATAAGATTACTAATCAATTCGGAAGAGTTTTACGTGCGCCGTGTTTCGAACACATACCATACACCGTATGCACAGGAGGTGAGATTTTATCATTACTTAATTAATTTGATTAATTAATTACATCGTTTAATAAAACTGGCAATAAAGAAACTACTTTTATTTGTAGGTCCGCCCTTTGGCAGTGTTTATAATATCGTTATCAAATACGCAAAGAGATTTAACTTGACACTGAAAACAACACCGTTCGTTGATGATGCATATGGATGCTTATATAAAAATCGGACCGGCACGCGTTTTATGGCAACACTTATATCTGATGAGGATGATTATAACGACGTTTTTTATGGTGCTGTTTCAAATTGGCTACTATTAGATTTTATTTTATGTGTGAGGTATATATATGAAGCATCAGTGCCTGTCCCAACGTAAGTTTAAATTTATCATCAAAGAAATATTTATATTTATATTTTTATTTTATATTTTTAGTTTGAAATACAGTTTCCTTACATTTGTGGATGTATTTTCATTCCACGTTTGGGCATCGGTTATTCTTTTATTTTTTTCATTCAGAAGTGTTTTATACTTAAAAGATTTAAGTTCTACATCTGGACATGGTTCTACTTTAGGTATTATGGCAATTTATGGTTTTTTAGTTTGCCAACCCGCCAATATTATAACCGGAATTAAAGAAAGCAAATTTATCAAGTACATGCTAATGCTTTTATTGATTTCAAACGTGTTGATAAGTACAGCGTATAATTCTCGATTATCCAGTATAATGGTAGCACCAATATACGAGAATGATATTAAAACTTTAGAGGAATTAGCTGCGAGTGACTTGAAATTGTTGTTTTTTGATTATTATTACCAACCTCTTACGCGTGACACAAGAGTAAATATTTAACGAAATATATATGAATTACTAATTTAAATTTAATTTTATATTTTGTATTTCTAGCCTGTTTATGCTACTTTAAGCGAAAAAATCGTTTTAATCGAAAACAATGATGATTATGAATTATCTGAACAAATGCTTTCAAGTAAAAAATTTGCGGTTGCTCGATTTCGCCGCAGTAATGGGGCTTATTATGAACAGTACCAACATCTTTTACAAATGTACAAGAGGTACAAACCTATTAAACCAGAACTATTCACTGATTATCTTTACATTTCGCTGCGTAAACATTCTATGCATACTCCCGAAATGTTAAAACTCAAAAATACGGCGGAGGAAACCGGATTAATGAAAGTTTGGGAAGAACAGGTAAAACTTAACAAGAAAAATATACTGTTATAAAGAAAATATTTTTAGGTGTTGGCAGTTTATAACAATATCACATTCACAGAGCAAATGCAAGATTATTCAACCAAGATTGAAAATGTGGCATTAAATATGAAACATTTAAAAGGAATTTTTACTTTCTTGGGAGGCGGACTTTTAGTTTCTTTGGTAGTATTTTTGTACGAATTAGTAAGTTGCCGTAAGATAACATATGGTGGAAAACAATGAATTACAATTAGGTGAGAAATACACGTACAGTGAGCATTGCAAACTTTTTGTTTTCTGTTTAATTCATATAAGAATAGATTTGGATATATGCGCAGTAGGGACACATAGGTTTTAAAATAAATAAATAATTGTAAGCGTATTGTAACAATTTTCTTGTTTGGGAGCAAATATTTGAAAACACTGCATCTGCTATATTTGTCAATAAAATAAATAAAATAAAAATAAATATTTATAAATCTACTATTTTTTTTAAATTGTTTCGTATTATATTTGTTAAAAAGTACATTATTTGTTAAATTCGTATTCGGACAATACTACAGGAATGAAACAAGCATTCTCAAAACACAATAAGATTCTTTCACGTCAGTTGTCAATAAAGACATAAATTTATAGATTTATAGACCTATGCAAGTCGTTTAGATGATGTTTGCAGCCGATAAGTAAATCTTAATATTGAATTATTCTATTCGTGTGTAGTACCTGAATCATGTTCTTGGAATTTGATTACCATTCTACTAACTAGATAATGACATGACATGCACATATTTTTAGATTTATCCATTGTCATGTTATTATGTACCTATATAATTTCACTGCATACGAAACCTTCAACAGCTAATATCTACCCAAACAAAAAAATTTCAGTTTCGACCAAAATGCGTCCAACAACCGCAACGAATCTAATCCCGTGTTTAAAATGGACTATCTTTCTCTTAAAACTAGTGGGTGGCTTTCAAAAACAACAAAACTTCTTTGGATACTTTTCAATCTTCTCGTTATGCTTTATCGTATTCCAAATGCAGTTAGACATGATTCTAAACTACTCAGGCGTGGAAACACTGAAACGTATTATGAATATGCCTTCTCTTTTCTTGGTATGAAAAATAAATAAAACTTTATTCAACTTTAAATATTATATTGTTTTTCATAGACAGCAACAAAATGTGTTTTTGTGATTTACAACTCAAAAAATTTAATAAATATGGTGGAATCACTGAAATGTTTCTGGCGTGCGGATAAGTTTGAGAATGAGTCATTCGGAAAAATTCGCAAAATTTTTATTATGGTAACATATATTTGGAAAGGATATATGTTTGTCGTTTGTGTTTTCTGCATTTACCTATGCATTTTACCACTACTTGATATTCAAAGTAAAATGCTTATATTGACCAACTTTACGCTCTGCAATTCGAGAATCCTTACCTGCTGGTTGGCAAATTACGTCTGGCAGGTATTTTTATTATGGTTACAGGGACTACCTACAGTCTTAGGATTTGATTTATTGTTTATTATTTTCACTGCGTATGTGTGTGCTGCCATTAAATTGCTTAAAATTGGATTGACTAAACTTAACACTGATGATTTATATAAACGAAAGCATATTTTACGAAATATTATTAATCAACACGATTTTATGATGAATTTTGTGAATGTGATGAATGATATGTTCACAACGATCATGTTTTTGCAATTTTATTGTTCTTTATGGTCGTTGGTGTTGACACAATATATGATGGTAGCAGACAGGTGAGACATCTAGCTAAAAAATTAATAAAACAATTAAATTATTTATTTATGTTTAGAATTTATTATGGAAGCTACTTATTTGTATTTGCGCTACAGTTGTATCTATATGCATATAGTGGTGCACTATTACAAATTGAGGTATGAAAATAATGAAAATGAAAAAATTAAATAAAACTTATTATTTTCTTATAGCTTCAAAGTTTATCTGATGATATCTTCTATGTTGATTGGTACAAACAGGAAAGCACAAAATTGCGCCAAAGTTTAGCTTTAATGATTCAACGTACTCAAAATGCTAAAGTTTTGACAGCTGGTAAAATTCCTATTCTGAATCTAGAACTTTTTGTAAACGTAAGTAATTTTATTAGTAATTTTATTTGCCAAATACAAATCTTAAGAATGCATGTAAATTATTTTTAGACACTTAAAAATTCGTATTCTGTTTTTACTTTAATCTGGCAAGTTGCTTCGGCATCCAAAGACGTTCACGGTTAAGAAACAAGATACCTAAGAGTGCTTACAATTTGAAAAATGTCAGTGCCTTTGCAATTTAGCTGATTTTTGATAAATATTGTCGTTTTAGCCTAATTAAATTAGCAAAAATATTTTAGTTCATGTTAAATCAATTTCCGTAATGATAAAAATTCAACAGAAGTTGAATACACAATAGCAATTAAAATTTCCGAAAACCCCGTCAATAATTTGACAGCAAAAAAAAACTCGAACAGAAAAACATTTTGTTGCAAACCTGAAAGCCAAAGCCAATTTCTTACATAACGAAATAAGTTATTTAAAAACTTAATGTTCATTCTATTGATCAACCAATCAATTACAAAAAAAATTGATAATTCGATATTTAGGGTAGATAGTATAGATTAAACTCCTAAATTATACAATCATATATGGCTAACTACAAGGACCTCCTTCATAAATATGTCGGAGAATCGATTATATCAATGAGGGTTTTATTCATATGGAAGGATCCGGATCTAACTTTAATAATTACGTTTAATAGAACCATAATTAAGCATTATCATACCTACCTATATTTTATTTATGAAAGTATTTCGTTAAACCATTCTTTTGGTTAATGTGGGCCAATCGAATAGTTTCAAGATGGAACCAACTAAAGCATACGAACATTTGCCAATCTTAAAATGGACGATATTTATTCTAAAAGTTATGGGAGGTTACCAAATACGAAGAAATGTGCTAAGTTACTTTACAATGCTGTCCTTAGCATTTCTTGTGTTTGAAATTCAATTGGATATGATTTTAAATTGGAACGGAGTGGAAACTTTAAAAAGAGTTGTATTCTTACCATCCGTCAGTTTGGTAACAAATTAACAATATTTTTTATTTAACTTAAAGTAAAATGAATTTTTATTGTTTTAGACAACGATAAAAGGCTTCTTTTTAATTTTACAATCAAAAGATTTTATACATATTGTCGATTTATTGAAGCAGTTCTGGTCCATAGACAAATTTGAAGAAGAATCATCAATACAATTAAATAAAGTGATAGTTTTAGTAACACGAATTTGGAAAGCATATGTCATTATGGTACTTTCATTCTGCACTCTGATGACGTGCTTGCCAATGATCATGTACGAGAGTAAAGTTTTAATTCTGAGCAACTTTGCCTTTTGCGATTTGAAAGGAAATCTCACATGTTGGATAGCGAATTATATCTGGCAGGGTTTTTTGATGAATTTCCAAGCGATTCCTGCTAGTCTGGGGTTTGATCTAATGTTTGTCATCTTTACGGGATACATTTACATTGGGTGTGAAATGATTAAAATAGGATTAAAACGATTAAACACGACTAATATTACTAAAAGGAAATTTATATTACGTGAAATCGTGGATCAGCACGATTTTCTTTTGAAATTTGTGTCTACCATGAATGACATGTATACACGGATGATGTTTATGCAGTTTTATTGTTCGTTATTGTCGCTGATTTTGGTTTTATACATGATTGTAGCTGATGGGTAAAATTTCTGATATTTATATAAAATTTTAATAATTAAATTAAATTTTGTAGAGTTCCGCCAAAATTTGAAAATGTATCATACTTTGGAACACTATATAGTATTTTAGCTTGTCAACTTTTTATTTATGCATACAGTGGAACCATCATACAAACTCAGGTAAAAATACGAGTAATTTGGGAAGTAAATAAAATTCTGATAAAAAACTCAATGTTTTAGATAAGAAGTATGACAACTTATATCTTTAATGTGGATTGGTATAAGGAACATAGCACACATTTACGGGAAGACTTGTCATTAATGATCTTACGAGCACAAAACGCAACAATATTGAATGCTGGTAAAATGTCCGATTTAAATTTGGAACTTTTTGTTGTTGTGAGTATTTTTAACAATTGTTGGTATTTTTGAATCTAATATTGTGCAATTTTAGACTTTGAAGAATTCTTTTTCGGCTTTCACGTTAATTTGGCAAGTATCTAATGCCGAACCAGACGTATAATTATTTGGAAACCTCTGAAATATAAATCCGTGAAACGGAAGCTAGACTCTCGTTTGATGTTGTTGGGCCGATTCAACACGCGGCAATGCAATGGATACGCATTGTAAATTATTACCATTTTTCTCTACATCCAGATTGGTGTATCAAAGATTATTTTCATAATAATTTTAATTAAATTTAGATTTAATGTTAATGCAATAAAAATGCCAGTAATTTGTGTATAAATCACGGTTTTAATTCGATGTAAAAATAAAAATGTTGTTATAAAAAAATCACCGAATTAAAGGCTGTAAAATGCAACGGCCGGTGGATAAGTTCCCGAAAGTCCAACCGCAAATAGTTTAATTTCCAGATCAATTGTCAAGTCGATAGTGTCAATAACAACCGTGCGACGACGAGGACTAAAAATTCTGCTCTTCAACGCGCCATTGATAAATATTTCAAAGCCGACAAGATCTCCTCGTATAGGACAAGTCCATTTAACTAAAATACTATTAACGCCGATACGACGAATGTCCGTTACTGCAACCGGAGTTTTATCGTTTTGACAGTCGCAAGCTTTAGACGCGCCTGGTGTTCCGCACATGCAAAGTGGAGGTTTCTTAAACGCTTCCAATCCATCTAGGCACAAAGGTTTCAACAGTGCTTCTTGAAGAGTAACGCGATCATAATCCGGTGAACTTGTTTGTGCTTGAAATTTATTCTTGTAATCGATTGGTGCGACAGTATCATCTAATTTCTTCTTCAGTGCGTGTATCATTAAATCTTTAGTCTGGCATTTTTGTGCAAATGTGTCCAGTGCAAGTTGTAGAGCAGATACTGTACTTTCAAATTGGCTTCCTTTCTTTTGAAGTACAGGACCTGCCACTGGTTCTATCTTTGTACAACCACATTTTATTTCCGGTATAATTTTTTGGAGTTCTTTGATGTCATCGTTTGTTGGTGGAGATTCTTGGTCTTGGGCTGGCTTGGTACCTGTACCGAGGGGACATGGTTTGCAAACGGCTTTACATTTATCTAAACATGTTCGACTATCTTTAAGTTCTTCAGGTTCTGGTTCCGGGGGTGTTTCTGGTTGTTCAGGTTCAGGTTCGGGCTCTACTACGGGTTCGACTTCAGATTCTAGTTCTGGTTCAGGTTCTACTTCGGGTTCTGGTTCAGGTTTATCTTCGGGTTCTGCCTCTTGTTCAGTTTCAACTTCGGGTTCTGATTCTACTTCGATAATAGATTGTTCTTTAGTAGGTGCATCTTCAGGTTCATCTGAATAAATGCTTTCATTTTCACTTCTTTCAATTTCTTCGGTATGCATACTTTCGGCATTTTCATCAATTTCTGATTGTATAAGAACAGCTTCAGGTTCCTCAGCTACTTGTTCTATTTGTTCCGTATCCTCCTCCTTTGGTGAACTAACTTGTTGATTTATGCATGGCGCACATATATCCTTACATACAGTCTTAGGTTTCTCTTCATGGTCAGAAGATTTATGACTAACCAATTCTTCTTGAATATCCGCGTGAATGCTTTCTGGAGCCTCTGAAGGTTGCTTTTCGCTGATTGCATCTTCAGAATGTTTACTGCTGACATGACTAATCATTTCTGAAGGTTGCTTTGTCTCCAGACTGTGTGAACTTGCTTCGTGTAATGATATTTTCTCAACGGAATGATGACTCGGGACTTTAATATCTTCCACAACATGTTGGGGAATCTCCGTTGTTTCAACAGAATGATAACTTGGTTGTTGAACAACTTCAATTTTCTCCGAGTGGCGACTATGGGTGCTTCTACGACTAGGTTCGCGAGATGGAATTTTTTCAACAGAATGATAACTCGGAGTTTTAGGTCTAGGTTCATCCTCTTTGATCGGTTGTTGTACAACCTCAACTTTTTCCGAGTGATGACTGATTTCTGAAGGTTTCGTATGGCGACTATGACTGCTTTTGCGACTGGGCTCGCGTGATGGAATTTTTTCATCAGAATGATAACTCGGAGCTTTAGTACTAGGTTCATCTTCTTTTACCGGTTGTTGAACAACTTCAACTTTTTCCGAGTGATGACTGATTTCCGAACGTTTCGTATGACGACTATGACTGCTCCTGCGACTAGGCTCGCCTGATGGAATCTTTTCCGGCGTGTGATGGCTTGGAGCTTTTTCGCTGATTTTGTCTTCTTTTTCCGGTTGTGGAGTAACAGGTTTCTCGGAATGGTAACTTTTATTTTCAATACTCTTAAAACTTGGTTCGGGAGACGGTATATCAGCTTTTGAGTGATGACTTGAAACTTGACTAGGTACATTTTGGAAATTGACCTCGGCTGATGCTTCTTCTATATGATCCTCTACTTGGTGGGTGGTTTCTGAAGGTTTGCTATGATGACTCTCAACCACACTTTCCACATGTGCACTTTTGACACTTTCTACAGTTAATTCAGTTCGATGGCTCGGTTCTGTGGTTTCTTCTGAAGAGTGGTCATCACCTTGCAGAAAAACGAAAAGTCAGTGATATCATAGACGACGGTGATCACTTACTTGGCACCTTTGTCAGAAGGTCCTCTGGATTCAGATTGATCGACAATATTGCTACTACGCCGACTTGCTTCAGCGGGTTCAGAATGCTTACTGCGATCATCAACAACTTTGCGCTTATCCGCAGGACAATTGGTTTCATTACAAGGTAAATCATCATCTCTTTTCCTGTTTTGTCGTTCTGAGGAACCTGATCTACTTGGTCTTTTACTGCTTGAATCTCTATGATAATCTTTTGATGATCCTTTATCGTCACGTTCATGGCTTTTTCGACGATCATGGGAAGAAGAAGAAGAATCTCTTGATTTATGTTTGGAATCATCATGTTTTGATAATTTATCTCCTTTCGGTTTTTCCATAGTCACAGAGCTTTTTGCACTTTTATAATCTTCTTCCTGTTGGTTTCTTTTAAATTCGCATTTGGGGCAAACACATTTGCCTGTACAACTGCATACCATATTCTTTTTATCTTGTGGCCGTATAAAAGCACATTGCTCGCATTTGCAGATATCATCGCAATCACACACCCATCCTTCCTTGTTAACTGCAGGTTGAGATTTTTTGAACAAGCAATTAATACACTTGCATTTTCCCCCACAATCACATACAAGTTTATCATGCTTCTCATTTTTATCATGTTTATCATATTTCTCTTCTTTATCATGCTTATCATGCTTCTCTTCTTTATCTTGCTTATCACGCTTCTCATTCTTATCATGCTTATCATGCTTTTCATCTTTATCATGCTTATCACGTTTCTCGTCCTTTTCATGCTTATCACGTCTGGAGGATGAAGAAGTGGAATCTTTGCGAGCTCGTGTTGACGGCACATTTGCCATTTCAGAATTTCTCAATAACTTGTCAAAATCACACGCGCAAGCCTTGCTTGACACCTTTTTATCGGGTATTACTTGTTCTGAATTTTCTTTATATTTTTCACATAATTTAAATGTGCGTTTATGTTTTGATTTTGAAAGTTCTGCACTTTTTCTCGCCGGTTCTTTTTAGGTTTTTCGATTACCTCATCAGGCAGACTACTAAGTGCATCCTCATATTGCGAAACAGTACTTTTGCATGGTTTGCATACAGTACATGATACACTAGTTTGTTGTTGAGCAACCTTACACGGTTTACAAATCTCGCATGATTTTACACTGGTTTGTTGATTGACCAGTTTGCAAGGTTTACATACATCACAAATTGGTGTGCTTGTTTGTTGGTCAATATCCTGATGTAAAATTTTGCAAGGTTCACATATGTCACACTCTACACTGGTTTTTTGGTCAATAACTTGCGGTTCTGCTTGGCAAGCTTTGCACACGTCACATATAATTACGCTAGTTTTCTGGTTACATACCTCCGGTTCCGCTTGGCAGGCTTTGCATACATCACAGACGATTCTGCTTGTTTGTTGAGGGTATCTTGCAGTGCAACTTTGCATGGTTCACATACCTCACACACAATTGCACTGGTTTGTTGGTGACACACTTCCGGTGGTACTTTGCATGGATCGCAAATTTCACATGAAGCTACACTTGTTTGTTGATGGCATACTTCTGGAGCCACCTCGCAGGGATCACATATGTCACATGCTACTTCACGATGGCATATCTCTGGTTCTACCTGGCATGGAGTGCACTCGGTACAAACAGTTGCACTAGTATGCTGGTGACACATTTCCGGTTCAACCTCACAAGGGTCACATACATCGCAAACTGCTTCACTTTTGTCTGTGGTGCAAACTATGTGTGCTAGTTTACAAGGTTCGCATACATCACATACAGCAAAAGTTGGTTTTTCCTTGGTAACATCAGGATCGCAGACACATTCTTCTTCTTCCTTTGCTACTTCCTCAGTGGGCTCACAGACACATTCTTCTTCACCCAATTTAGCCGTATCTACTGATACAGCCTTGTGGCAGACTTCCGGTTCTACCTCACATGGGTGGCATATGTCACATTCAAGATTAGGTTCTTCATGACTAATTGGTTCTAAAGTTTCACAGGGTTCACAGATACATTCTTCTTCAACTTCAGGGTCTTTCGCAGTATCATCTGGACATTGTACCTGTGCGTCCAGGCAGGGATCGCATGCTTGGCATGAAGCATCTGTAGGTCCTTGTGGAGGTTCTAACACTTCACAGGGTTCACAGATACATTCTTCTTCAACTTCAGTATCTTTTGCTGTATCATCTGGACATACTACCTCAGCATCCAGACAGGGATCGCATGCTTGACATGAGGCATCTTTTGGTCCTTGTGGAGGTTCTAACACTTCACAGGGTTCACAGATACATTCTTCTTCAACTTCAGTATCTTTTGCTGTATCATCTGGACATACTACCTCAGCATCCAGACAGGGATCACATGCTTGACATGAAGCATCTTTTGGTCCTTGTGGAGGTTCTAATACTTCACAAGGTTCACAGATACATTCTTCGTCAACTTGATTAGAAGCATCTTCAGTGCCTTGTTGTGATACTTGATCTTCTGGTTCTTTCTGGCAAGGATCACATACTTGGCATGAGGCATCTTTTGGTCCACTTGGAGGTGTCAGTACATCGCAAGGCTCGCAAACACATTCTTCTTCTGTTTCAGCTGATTCAGCTGGTTCAGTTACGTCTATGCTAGGTTTATTTTCAGTATCCTCTACCTCTTCTTTGGGTGGACCTTCTACTTCGTCTCCTGATGGACACACATAATTTGCTGCTTCACAAAGTTTACACTTATTGCAAGCAGCATGAGAAGCAAACATTTCAGCCACCATTTGTTTGCAGATTTTATTATGGCAGTCCGAATCGCCAGTAAATTCTCCTTTACCAACAATGGTATCCAACAATTTATCTTCCAGCTTATATCTGCATGTATAATCTATTGGAAGGTAACTTGTTTGGCGAAAGATTATATCCACTATTCCTTCTAAATTGCACTCCTGAAGACATGGTTCTTCAGCTCCATAGGCTAAGGGTTCATCTGGTTTAAAATCCACGGATTTTTTAAAATTATCCAAATTATCCATATTCCGTGCTAAAGCATTTTTATCCATTTCTTGCAACAAGCCATCTCCACCAAGAGCTTCCTCAATCAACAAGAAATCGGTATATGCTCGTAAAAGTTTTGAATGTTCTGGCCATAACTTACACTTGCAACAATTATCACAGGCTGATTTCAATACCGCTGGTACATCGCCAGAGCCTTCCAATGATACCACATCTTTTTTGTCTTCCTGTTCCTCTGCTTTGTCCATTTCTGCCTTCAAGCCATCATATATTCCTGAATCCATAGCATTATCAAAGGCTTCTTGAAGTTTCATCTTCAGGTATTCCGCTATATCATCGTCCAATAGATTTCCATTTAATGGTAAGAAGATAGCGTATATAGAATCAGTAGTTTTTACTTTATCACATGGCAAGTTTTCAATTGCAACCGTTTTCAAATTATCGTTGAATAAATGTGATATTTCTGTTTTTGATGGTGACTTTCCAGCTGGTATAAATACACGTTCTCTCTGTGCTGTTCTAATTGATCTTAAAGGTATGTCTTCGTCTTTGGCATGTTCCAGCAATACTTTCAGTTTATCAATTGTCGCATGTACTTCATCTGTATCTTCACCAGGAACCAGAATTATTTCACCTAAAAATACTGGTATTGTTTCGAAAGGTACATGCATTAGTAGTCCTTCCAAGTCTGCTAGAGTTTGTTCAGTTCCAACGCAAACATCACACTTGCAGGTGGTTATAGGCGGACATTCAACAGGCATTTCGCTTAAAGTTGGCTCTTCCTCTGCTTCCTCAACAGGTTCACCAATGGTATGCTCGCTAGGAGCGAGAGGCTCCTCCATAATAATCTCAGCAGGAGTTGCGAGTTTACTAACTGTTTCTTGTGATATTTCGGATTCTGCTGGAGGACTTTCTACTTGGCTTAAAATCTCTTCCTTTTCAACATCGTCAACAGGTTCTACAACAGTATGATCGCTAACGGTAACAGTTTCTTCCACAATGGATTCACCTGGAGTTGTGATGTTACTGGTTCCACTTGGGGTAGCAACTTGTTCAAGAATAGACTCACTCTTGAGACTTGGGGCTTCGCTTAAAATCACTTCTTCTTCGGGCTCTTCCACAGGTTTCTCGAGAGTATGTTCACTGACAATAACACTCTCCTTCTTTGGAGTTTCCGCAGGCACTGAAATCTGACTTGGTTCACTAGGAGTTACAATTGGTTTACTAGCAGGGCTAGTCTCTTCACTTTGAACTTCTTCTTTCCTAATTGTACCGCTAGGAGATGTAATATTACTAGCTCCACTAATTGTTACAGTTTGTGAACGAGTGTCCTCTGCTTCTCTACTTGGAATTTCGCTTAAATCTTTTCCTTTGTGTTCATCATCAAAAGGTACTAACAGAGTATGACCACTGGCAGTAGCAACTTCCTTCAAGACAGATCCACCAGGAGTAGTAACATATGTTGTTCCACCGGGGGAAGTAACTCGAGATTTATGAGAGCTTGGTATTTCACTCCTAATTCCACTTTGTTCACTAGGGGCAGGCATATCATAAGGACCAGGAGCACCTTCAGATCCTTTGTGACTTGATGCTTCCCTCATCACTTTTTGTCTCTCTGCATCATCGACGGGGACCAATATGCTGTGTCCACTTCTTGTTATTATTTCCTTTTGCAATTTACCAGTTGGATCCGTGTGATAACTTGGGCCTTCTGGTGTTGTAATATGAGTAGACGGTTTTGAACTAGGTGCCATGCTTGCAATTTGACTCATTTCTTTCGCCTGCGTGTGATCACTAGGAGTAACCATATCTTTTGGAATAGTCCCATCGGCACCAGAGATATAACTTTGGCCTCCTGCTGATGCAATTTGAGTAGACGGTTTTGAACTCGGTGCCATGCTTGCAACTGGGCTCATTTCTTTCGCCTGCGTATGATCACTAGGAGTAACTATTTCTTTTGGAAGTGTTCCTTCAGCTGCAGACACATGACTTGGACCACGCGATGGTATAGTGGTAATGTCAGATGGCTGCGCAGTTTCCGCTTGGCTTATAATTGTTTCTTGCATGGGTTCTTCAACTGGAACGACTAATGTATGATCACTTGGGCCTTCTGGTGTTGAAATGTGAGTAGAAGGTTTTGAGCTGGGTACCACGCTTGCCACTTGACTCATTTCTTTTGCTTCTATATGGTCACTAGGAGTAACTATTTCGGGTGGTGTAATGCGAGATGGCACTTCACTGCTCGGCTTACTTTCAGCTTGACTCATAATTTTTTCCGGTTCGACTTCCTCGACTGGGATTGTATGATCACTTGGTGTTGGAATCACATTCTGCACTGATGGTTGTGCACTGCTTGCCTCGCTTGCAACCAAACTCATAGGCTTTTCTTTTTCGACATCTTCTACTGGTGCTAATATTGTATGATCACTGGGTGTAACTATTTCTTTCGGAGGCACTTCACTAACAGCCGATACAGAGCTTGTTTCAACCGGTGATGCAATGGGAGATGGCACTACGCTGCTCACTTTGCTTGCAACTGGACTCATAACCTTTTCTTCATCAACTGGGGCCAATATTGTATGATCACTGGGTGTTTCCACTTCTTTTTGTGTCACTTCAGACACAAAACTTGTGGCTTCAGGTGTTGTAATACGTGATTCTTCAGCAGTTGTAATGGGAGTCTCAATAGCTGAAGGTGTTGTCACATCTAGTACTGGAAGATGGGTTACTAATGCTACCTTAGTTCCATCATTAAGATCGACAATTACAAATGGATAGTCTCTCTCGTCAATAGAATCAATAACAAAATTGACATCCGAAGCAATTTTATCATTTGTAGGTGACGCTTCCAGTTCTTTAAAACATTTTAAACCACTAGGTAATTGCAAGCCCATGTAATTCATTCCCGTATCTTCAGCATGTCGTATCAGAACTTTTATTACCTTAACAGCTTTAACAGTTTCATTTCGATTTATTTCAGGAATAATAATAACATCAACAGGAGGATTCTTTATAACTTCAAATGGTAGGTTGGCCAGGTCATAGCTTGAAAGCAGTTTTTCCAGCATAGTCATTGATTCTTTAGGAGCACAAATTTGACAACCGGAACATATACGTCCCAGTGTTCCATCTTGATTTTCTTCCAATATGTTTTCCGGGGAAGGCATTAAAATTGTAGAACCACAAATTTGGCATCCAGAACATATCCGTCCCAACGATCCAGGGATAAGTAGCTGTTGATCCAGCATTGTGTTTATATCCTGCATATTTCCGTGCACTGTCACAAGAACAACTAAACCACTATCCCTGTCAACCATTGTGTATGGGATATTGCTTCTCTGATTATTTGCCAGCTGATCTATTTTATCTGCCACAGGGAATTTCGATGCAGTAACATTTCTCAGTTCGAACATTGCTTCGCCATCCTCGTTTATTATATCTGCTATAGGCGCCTTTGTTTCCTGCAGTAAATCTTTCACATATTGGTCCGATTCATCCTTTAAAAACACAATAGCAGCATGAGGCTTTATAACTGTCTGCATTGGAACGTGCATTGTGCCAACCCTACCTTCATCTTCAATATGAGCTCCAACTGCTTTCTCAGCAATATCTCCGCGATATTGATAGCATTTATCTTTGGTTGTTTGCAGGCCAATGTTTAAATTATTCTCTGGGCGCTTTGTACATACCTGCAAGCATTTCTCATAAGCGCTCCTATTGACTGGTATTTGTGATGGAAGCGTTGGTCCTATAGGGTATAGCTGTCCTGTTACTGGATCCCAATAAGTATTTCCTGGCATTATGTTGTATTGCGTAGGAGGTACATATGCAAAATCCATTGTGGCTGGTGCCCATGATCGACCGCAACACAGAATACACTTTTCTTCAGCAGTTTGTAAAGGTGTAACCGACATTTGCATCATAAAATTATTTCTATTATGCCTTATTGGAATTGGTAAACCACAACACTGATAGCATGCATCTTCTGGAGTCAACTCATTTAAAATAAGTTGTTTCCTTGCTGGAATTGGTAAACCACAACACTGATAGCAGGGTTCTTCTGGGGTCAAAATTCTTTGCTGATCATTCATACTCGTTGATTCAATAAATGTATGTCCACTAGCCGTAAGAACTTCAGGGCTAGCACCACCAGGTGTGGAAACTCGATGAGGAGGTACTTCGGGACTATTAAAACTAATTTCATCAGCCGTGAATGGTTGATGTGCAAATTTATCATCAGGTGGTAAAATAATGCGTCCGTCAGGTGCAATCAGTTCTTTTTGAATACTACTGTCAATTCCAGGAATATAAACACTTCCGCCAGGACTTGTAATCTTCGAGGAGGGCATTGATGTTAGGCAACATTGAAGACACGCATTTGCTGCAGGGGTGCCATTTCGAGTACCAATTGAACTTGGCGCTGAACTCATAATTACCCTCTGTTGTTCATCAGAACTAATGTTTTCTAGTATTCTATGTCCACTGGGTGTTTCAAACTCCCTTCTCAGGGTACCATCTATGCCAAAAACGTAAGTTGTACCTCCAGGTGATACAAGGCGAGGAGCGTCTGTTGAACCTGCGTCATTCATAACTCCCTTCATATATTTTATTACTTCACGCTCATCAGCAGTAACATCATGAGGTTCTCTAAGATTAGAACATGTGCATTGACTGCAACATTGAATTTTGACATTTTCTTGGGTAATTATCTCGCCGTTTATTGGTTCTGTAATTGTGCGTCCATCAGCAGTAATAACCTCTTTTTGGGCACTACCATACAATCCATCATAATAATTACTTCCATATCCAGGCATAACATTAGAAGTCTTGGTGGATACCGCATGTCCAATACAACATTGCACACAGATATTATCAACATCTGGTTTATACATTTGTCTAGATCCATTAGTTGTATTCATGTTTGAAGATGGTCCAATTGAAATTTCCTTCATTTGACTTGCTAATGTTCCCTGATCCTGACTTAAAGGTTGTTCTGTAGTCTCAATGCCTTTTGCCATTTTTTCTACACTTGTATTGGTTTTTGCGTTTGTTAGTCCATTGTCAGTATCAAATGCTATTTTGCCTTGTTTTGCATCCTTAGCCTGTTGCTTTAAACGCTCAGCAACATATGGGCAAGTTGTTCTGTCTTGAAAACCCGTACAGGAGGTCTCTTTGCACGCAGCATCTTTCAAAAAAGCTTTTGTATCAAGTAGCTGACTAACTTGTAAAACATCACACCCACATCCGCATGGATAAGTACCTAAACCTTCATATACACCACTGCAAGCACTAATAGTTTGTTGAACTTGATTTATCCGTAACGATTGATCAATACATTGAGCACCAGGGCGATCTTGAGTAGGATCTTGATTAAATGAGTCGATATTTTGTGGAGTTTTACTAGTTGTATTACTAAACATCAACGAGTTTTCTGTTGGTTGTTTACTACCGCTTGCTTTCATTTCTTTTGAGTTCCTCTTTGGCATGTTGTCATTTTGGTGTAGTTTACATCTTAGTGCAGCTTTAATTGCTTTGCATTTATCGCATATCCCACGTTGTCTGCACGTGCATCTCATTTTTGAAATATCTTTTACGCGTATCTCACGCCCTTTTCCACCTTTTTGTGTATTTTTGCACAGACAATCTACACATGTGCAACTTCCTAGGTGTTCAAAACTACTTCGTGAATAAGCACTATCTCCGTCGCCTTTGGATTTCTTTTCACTACCGCTTTCAACTGATTTCTTCGTTTCGCACATCCAGGTAGTTTTCCCGCAAACACCGCAATCACAGTATTGAGTAAGCACAACATTAGCCGCTTGAGCTGGCATACTAGAGCAAGAGGAACAAAATTCCTGGTCGTAGAGTTTAGAAATAGAAAATCGTTTATCTTCTGCTTCTTCTAACAGCCTCTTAGGATTTTTTGGTGGAGACATATTTTGTGATTTTGGTGGTAATCGATCATCACTCAGTTGGCTATAATCTTTTCCTTGAACACCTCTTTCATTTGTGCAATTACAATCTTTCGTGTTGCTACACCCACAATTTTGTTTTTGTGATTTTTCACTTTTTTCAGTACTAGACCTTTGCTGCTTATTCGAAATTGCGCATCTTGCTTTACATTCTTTTGATTGTTTAATTGCATCTTGCTCAGCCAGCAATTGACCTTGTTTTCTGGTATCAGTGCCTAATAACTCTTCACGTAATAATTTCTGTGACATTCTAAACTCATTTTTTACTTTCTCAAGGAGAGCAAATATGTCAGCACATCCACAGTCGCTTTTATTACCTTTGCTAGCTTGTGTTGGTGTTAATTTTTGTCTATCTTGAAATTTACTACTACCATCTCTACAATCACAATTAGTCTTCCTATCATCTGCACCAGGATATTGTATGTTAATTGATATTGGCGGGTTGCCACTCTTAAAATTGTCATTATATGAGGAAGGAATTTTTTGCTTTGCATGCTTAGTTGTTTTAAATTTATTGCCATCCTCAGCTGTTGTAATCGTCAACTCTGTTTCCTCCATGGTACCAGTAGTAAGATGATGTGTCACGCCATCCGGACCCATTGATACATTGTAACTCTCAAACGAGACATACGATTCCTTCATGTCCATTTGTACCTTATCTCCCATTTGGTCTATATTGCCGGGTATAAAAGCTTCTATTTTTTCTATGTCACCAGAAGTAAGCAATTCTTTATCCATATTGGTTGCATTTGCACCACCGGTTCGAGGTTTATTTTTGGAACCATCAGAAACAGGCACCTTTACTTCCTGTTGCACATTATCACCAGTGTCATTCTGAGAACTGGTGCATGCTCCTCGGCATTTAAGTTTTTTCCTGTCTTGCTCCCCATTTTTGTCTTGTTCTGTATCAGTTTGAGTTCTAATATTACCCTGATTCCAAACTGGTTCACAACACTTGTTGCATAGCACTGGTGCTTCATCTTCGGTAGCACTATGCACCATAAAGGTTTTAATTGTAGGAGCATTTGGATTTAACAATTTTTTAAGTGTTGTGACATTCTCTTTAACAGCTGGTAATTCAACAAGGGAGGTTTCTTCTGTATACTTATATGCATTACCAGAGTGTTTGGTTTGAGTGCGTGTGGCTGCCGTGTTCCACACAGGATCACAAGCTTGGTTATGTAGTTCATTGCCAAATCCATCTTTAAAAGGATTTTTGTTGCTTGCACTTACATTGTAGGTTTTTATTTCCGGTTTTATACGTGAACAACGAGCAGAGCACGTGTGTTTGCAAACCCCCTCGGTGTTTTCATTAGGATTCATCTGTTGTTTAATATTACCTGTCTTTTTTGGATCAGAAGCAACAATAATGGGAATTTTGTCGCTCACTGAATCACTGTCACTGGTGGAATGGTTAGCAACTGGTTTTTTCTTGGGTGGATCATTGTCAGTAATGATGGAGTCATCAGATTTGCAGAAGTCAACTTGTTTGCTACTACCATTAGACCTTCTGGGGTTTTCTTCTACTGAATTGCGTGCAGGTACAACAACAATAGGGTCATTAGCCACTGATGTCTTAGCGCCGCAGTCCTTTGTACAACTGCTATCTTGAGTTTTGGGGCTTGTTTGAACCTTAGTTTCTTTATCAGGAGCTCCTCTATTACAAATTCCAGTACATTCTGGGAAACATTTTGCATCATCATCACTTTTCTCTATTTTTGTTTTTGAGCAAATTCCTGTACAAGTTGCAGCACAAGTATTTGAAGGTTTGGCTTCAGTTATTTTATTATTAGAGTCAATGCAATCGTCCTTAGTTTTGCTTTTGCTTTGTTTAGCACAAACACCAATACATTCCGGAAAACAATCTTTTTTATCATCCGATGTTGATACACTTTTTATATTAGTTTTAGAGCAAATTCCAGTGCACGATGTAGAACACACTGTAGTAGATTCCTCTTTCGGATCAGGGCACTTATCTTTATTGTCAACTTTATTCCCTTTAGCACACACACCGGTGCATTCCGGGAAACAATCGTCTGCACCTACTGAAGTAGTATATTTTTTTGTGATATTCGTTGTTGAGCAAGGTCCGGTACACGTTGTTGCACAAATATTTTTAGTCTTAGCTTCTTTCGATTCGCTACAATCGTCTTTCAAGTTATCTTTGCTTTTCTTGGCACAAGTGCCAACACAATCTGGGAAGCAATCATTTGCAGCAGTATCTCTCGCTTTTATACTGGTTTTTGAACAAACTCCAGTACAAGTCGCTGCACAAATATCCATAGGTTTTACTGTTTTAGCGCCACAATCGCCCTTGAAACTAACTTTGTTTTCTTTGGCGCAGACACCTACACAATCGGGAAAACAGCCTTCTTTTGTTCCCAAAGCTGTATTACTTGTGGTTATATTAGTTTGTGCGCAAACTCCAGTACAAGTTGCTCCACATGTACTCTTAGGTGTATCTATTGATGCACAATCATTGAGTTTGTCCTGTTCAGCGCAAACACCTTGGCATTCTGATGAACACGTTTGTCCTGTACTGATCTCCGTTTGTATCCTAGTTTTGGAACAAGGTCCCGAACAGGTAGCTGCACAAATGGTCAATTTCAATGATTCCCCACAATCATTTTTAGTGCTAATGCTTCCTTTTGCGCAAACACCTACACATTCCGGGAGACATCCTATCACAGGTTCCAAAGCCATATCCTTTTTTGTAATGTTACTCTTTGAACAAACTCCAGTACAAATTGCAGCACAAATGTTTGTTTGCACCTTGTCAGTTGAATCACTACAAATATCATACGTACCAACTTTGTTTACTTTTGCGCAAACACCAGTACATTCTGGACTACAAGTTTTTGTAGATACCGCAAGATTATCACCTTGTATGATATTAGTTTTTGAACAAATTCCGGTACAAGTAGCGGAGCATCTGATGCTTGGCGCTGTATTACCTGTTGTGGTATCTCCGGCAGCTTTTATTCCAACTTCGGTGCAACTGTCCTTAAAAATAACTTTGCTCTTTTTGGCACCAAAACTTCCACAATCCGCTAATCCTGATTTGACAGGTAATGATGCACATTTAGTTATGTTTGGTTTGGAGCATATTCCAGAACAAGTTGTTGCACAAATTTCTCTACTCATGGTATTGTCAAACATTCGGTTAGTGGACATATTTCCAGGAGCATTCATACCAAATTCTACGCAATTCTTTTTAGAAATATCTTGGTTCTGTTTGGAGCAATCTCCTGTACATGTAGGGGAACAAGGGTTTGTCGTGTTTGAAACTATATCACATTTTGTTGTTTTAGTTTTTGCGCATATTCCTGTACAAGTAGTACATTCACATACTTCGGTGTGAGTTGCATTTATTCCTAAATCGGTGCAATTCTTATCTGTTTTCGTTTTATATGATTGAGCACAAACGCCAGTACATTCTGGGGAGCATGTTTTTGAAGATGCAACTGCATTAGCATTTGAGCATACTGCAGTACAAGTTGTTACACAAACGTTGCTTTGAGTTGATTCCATGTTATTAGATGAATAGCAGTCGTTATTTTTGGTTTTGTTTTGTGTGTTACAAACAGCTGTACATGTTGCAGAACATGATGTGTCATTTTTCAATGCATTGCCTTCTGAACAAACTCCGGTACAAGTGTTTGCACAAATACCCTCCGAAGTATTTATCCCTGATTCAACACAGGTTAATCCACCATAACTCTTGTTCTGTTTTGAGCATTCACCGGTACAGTTTGGTGAACACTTCCGGGACGATTCTACTGGTTTTTCATTTAGAGAACTGCAGGGATCTTTATTTTTGGTTTTATTATTTAAGGCACAGACACCTGTGCAACCTGGGGAGCAAGTGTTTGAAGACTCCATAACGACATCACCTTGGTATCCATTATTAGAGGAACAAACACCTGTGCAAGTTCGGGCACAAGTGCCTGAAGAAATTGATTCCATTTTTTGTTGGGCGTTGATGATTTAGCGCAGGCACCTGTACAATCTGGGGAGCATGTTCGTGAAGATTCCATCACCACATCTCCCTGATATCCATTATTACTAGAACAAACACCAGTACACGTTGGTGCACAAACGGTTGTTGTGCTGGAATCCATGTTTCTATTAATGCCTGTTGATTGTGCGCAAATTCCTGTACAATCTTGGAAACAAGTATTTGAAGAGGTTGAAACCATATTATTTTTGTAAGCATTAGCAATAGAGCAAGATCCAGTACAAGTCTTCGCACAAATGTTAGAAGAGGTTAGATCGATTCTTCGATTAGGTGAGGATTGGGCACAAGGGCCTGTACAATCTGGAGAGCATGTTCTTGATGACTCCATACCATCACCTTGATATGCATTGTTTATAGCACATGCACCAGTACATGTCCTGTCACAAATACCAGAAGCCTTTGTGTCTATTCTTCTACTGGTTGGGGAGCATATTCTTTGCTCCATACCAACATCACCTTGATATGCATTGGTTTTAGAACAAACACCAGTACAGGTCCTCTCGCAAACACCCGAAGTGTCAGTGTCCATTCTTCTATTAGTTGTAGATGATTGAGCACAAACCCCTGTACAGTCTGGAGAGCACGTTCCTTGGGATTCCATAACCATATCATCTTGACGTTGGTAAGAATTGCTCTTAGAACAAACACCCGTACAAGTTTTCGTACAAATGCCAATATAACCAGAATCAATACTTTGATTAGGTGATTGTGGTGCCCTTTGAGTTCCGTATCTGTTTGTGTTTGAACAAACTGCAGTACACGTCCTATCACAAATTCTTCCTTTAGAACCAGGTGATCCTGGTTTGGTGAATATTTCATCAGTTTTGTCTTGTCCCAGAGTAGCGCAAACCCCTGTACAACTTGTTTGACATATTCTTGAAGTGCCTGCTGATACATTTGCTCGTGTATTACTATTTGAGCAAATTCCAGTACAAGTATTTGCACAAATACCTGATGAGGTTAAATCCATCACTTTGTTAAGCGTTGATGATTTACTGCAAACACCTGAACAACTTGGCAGACAAGGTCTGGGTTCAAAAGGTCTATCCGTTCCTAACGTATTGGTAATAGTATTCATATTGGTATTGGTGTTAGAACAAACTCCTATACAGGTCTTTGCACAAACACCTGAAGAGGATAAGGCCATCCCTCTATTAACTGATGACGTTTTGCTGCAAATAGCTGAACAACTTGGCACACATGGCTTAGATTTCACAGTCATATTAGTATCTACCGTATTTGTATTGGAACACACTGCAGTACAGGCTTTCACACATACGTTTCTTGATGGAGTCATCTTCATCTCATTTTGTTGTAGTGGTAGTTGAGCACCTGCCCCAGTATATACTATGTGTTGCTGGGAACACGGACCTCCGCAAGTTGGCAAACATGGTTTACTGTTTGCATCGATTGGCTGTAAATTTTTGGCAGAGCATACAGCTTTACAGCTTTCTTTGCACTCACGAAAAGTAGGACCATTTGGTAAATTTGAAGCAAATTGGGGTTGCTGAATGGGATTTACAAGTGATACATTTTGTTGCATTTGATTCTCAGGTACGTTTGAAATTGGAGCAGATTGATTTTTTACACAATAGCAGGCTTTAGGGACAAATTCAGTATTTTCGTTAATCTTCTTATTGTATTTTGCTAACTTGGAGTCAAGTGGTACAAATGGTGCTTTCTGAGATGTGAATTTAGTATTCCAACAAGAACGAATTTGTCCAGAAACATTCGAAGTCTGAACATTCGGATTATGCTGAGTTAAATCTTTTGGTATAGTAACTTGTTCAAAATCGTTTATTGTCCCTGCTTGAATAACTGATTGCGGTACCACAACAATTTTGGACCCACCAGGAAAATCACCAAGATTTTCAAAAGCGGAAGATGTGGCATAGCGTCCCGTGTTATCCAGCGACGTGAAATCATTGTCAGTTGCTTCAAACGACGATTGACGAACATTTGCATTAGAGTTTAACATCACTTGCTTCGGAGGTTGTGGCGGCCCTTCTGGATCAGTTCGTGGAGTAACTAATCTAGTATGAGATGTACGGTCCATAGAAGTTCTCTTTATACCACGTGAATTCAATACTGAGGTATCATATTTAATATACGGATAATTTGTTGAAGGATTCGGATATCTGCCTGTTTTTGGCGCAGACATAAAAGACTCGTCAACCTGTGTGTTTGACTGAATCGACTGAGTTCTATCTTCTCGAATTTCTGGCAAAACGTCATAACGCAACTGTATATTAACAGATTGTGGTTGAACATTTTTATTGTCTTCGGTAATACTCCAAGCAGATGGCTGCATTGACGAAGCTAAAAACCAAAAATTTTAATTTTTACTTTTAGCAAATTTATTTTAAATACCTGGTGATGCTCCAGTGTATGCACAAGAACATGCCTCTGCATTATACGTATTTGGTGAATACGCAAAAGTGTGAGCATCTGGATTAACACAAGTTTGATACTCCGAAATATTCGAAAAACACGACAAACTTTGAGGAACTGGGAAATTATTGCTGCTCAGTGCTGAACTTGAACATTGTTGAATAACATCAAATCGTACTTCTCGCGATGGACGACTACTAGCCATTGATTGATCTTTGGAATATCTTTGATCTGAAATAACAGGAAATACACTAGGCTCAGGTCTAGGTATTGCCAATGGAAGTGTGGCCAGGTTAGTCAATAATCCTAAAATGTTTTGACTTTTTTCGGTTTTATTCTCGACGAAACCTCCATGTCCATGATAAGGACACATAGCAGTCGTTGCGTCTTTGGCTGGTTTTGTTATCTTTGGAGTATTTACAGGTTTGTTGAAGAAATACTCATCAAAAATACAATCAGGTTCAATAGGCTTCAACAATATGTTGTCTACTTCCACTATAACAGGTTTAGATGCTGAAAATTAGATATTTATACATGGAAAAAGCAGATATTTAAAAATTGCTTTAAAATACCATTATATTCATTGAGGCATTGAGCAATTGGTAATTTTAAACCGTGGTACGGGCAGCAAGTCATTGGCATTGGAAGTGATATTACTTCTGGTTTTGACACATCTGAATGCAGAACTCTATTTCCATCATTAGTATTATTAGAAGCTATTTTATCAACTTGTTTTTTGTTGCGCTTAAAAATAAAATTCTCATTGAAATTAAATATTATTTATTGATGATTTAAATTATCATTTACCGATCCAATTTGTAAAGTATTATGACGTTCATCTACTTCTTGGATAACAGCCAATTTATCACATGTGGCCGATGAAAAGCGAGCAAGAGGGCTTAACTCTACATGATCTAAAATACCATCTGATGTTCCCACACCACAATCATCCACGTAGATAATCTCAGACATAGAATCTGAATCTCCATGTGAATACTCTGATGCATGTGGACTTATAATATTAGGCGAATCATGTTGATGTTCATGTTCATTTTGCTCTTCAGCACCTTCAGTTTTCCCCGCCCCTTCATTTAGAACATACGCAACTGTTACGCATCTATCATTGATGAATCCTAAAGGAGCACTCGGACACATCTCCAAAAGATAAGAATCAATTTTGGAAGATTTCCTTTTTACATCAACAAAATCACCAGCTGCTTCATTTGATGACCGTTTAGTATCAAGTTTATCATCTATATTAGGTGAGGCGCATTCAAGACATTGTTCTCTACATACTTCCTTTGATGCGCTATCATTTTCGGTATGTGAACTACGTCCTCCACTGCTACCATCACCAGTAGAATGATAATCTTCAATAACAAGATCAATCTGATTGCAATTGTTCTTTTTGCACACGTCAGTGATAACTTCAATATTCCCAGCGTCATTGATAACCATGGAAGTCGAAATAGTTCCATCTTTATTTTCTGTAACCACTTCTATAAGTCCAGGATTAGCAAAAGTCGTTGTGACGTTAACTCCATCTGTATGCGTTTGAACAATGTTAGCTGCGCATGCAGTATTCTTAGTCACACATGAAATTTGATTCGAATCCGTAACAGCATTATCACATATAGTATCACACTGTAAGGTGTAATCAATCGATGTTTCATGTTGTTTCCCAGGAGTTGCTGATGTACCTGGATCATCATCCAGACAGGTACCGACCGCTCCACAAATGCACTCATCATCTTGATCACCAGATTCTGGTGGTGTGTTACTTTTATCAGATATTTTGGATTCACATTCACCGGCCCATCCACAAACACATTCAGAATCTTTAGATGGAGAACGATTGCTTGCTGCTTTTTCAATACTTGTTCTTGCGGAACGTGGAGTTTCCACTTTTGTAGTTGTCGCGCATTCACCGTCCAAAACACATATGCATACAGATTCTTTAGATTTCTTTGAAGGTTTGCTCGTGCTTTTAGCAACACTTGCAACTTCAGATTTGCCTGCCTCGATGCAAATTTTGTTTGTACATGTTTTACCTATTAAATCACAAAGATCTTTTATATCACAGGCTGTTTCTAACAATGTATCTGGAACTGATTTGTCCCCTTTGGCATTCTCAATCTCCTGACTCAAATCTCTAGCAATCTTGTATAAATCTGCATCGGAGGGTAATTTACAAGGACATTCTTGTGGTCCACGTACTGGTATATCCTGTGGCGTTTCTTTACTCTCAATTTGGACTGGTGTTGACTTCTGAATTAGAGATGATTTATTTGATGTTGTTTTAGAACATGTTTCAGGACAGGTTTGTTCAGTTTGATCTGTTTTCTCTCCTAATGTTGCAGTTGCATTGGAAACAACTTGAGTCACAGTAGGTTGTTGAGGTTGTTGAGTTGCAACAAGTCTACCACCTCCTTTAGAATCACCACCACTAGAGTCAGAATCCTTGCATGTGCAAAATGACGACCGACTAGAAGCTCTCCTTTTCTTCTTTTTTTCTAGTTCTGTTTTCATCAACGCAAGAGTTGTAGCTTCGCTTAATTTCTGATTGATCAAATCACTTTGTAGTTGTTCATTGCGTTTGATTAAGAATGTAATCTCTTCTCTAAACTTGCAATTAATATCACGCATGTCTTTTAGGTTTGCTTCATTTGCTTCCAGTTGTTTTTTCAGAAGTGCTGATTCTCTTACGGTGCTGCAATGTTTATCTTCACATTCTTTGTCTTTGCGTCTTAAATCATCCTCTAATGCACTATTTTTCCGCCGCTCGCGTTCTAATTCTCTTTGAAACGGCCCTTCTAGATTTTCACGTAAATGTTTCAATTCCAGTCGGTAATCGGCTAATTCATCATATAATCTTTGATTCTCTTTTACGAGACTTTCATTCATGGACCCAACATCTTGACTCCGTACTGTGACACCTTCTCCTCCTTTTGAATTAGAAAGTTTGTCGACTTTGGCTTGTACATCCTTCAGAGCTTTTTCTTTGGCTTTCAAAGTATTCACTTCGTTTATCAGAGATTTTTCTTTTTCGGTTAATTGTTTAATTTTGTCCATGTAACAAATGTCAGCAGATTCAATCGAAAACACTGATATTTTGCTCATGTCGGGTAATTTAAGCGGTTGTGCGGGTTGTGGTTCATCATTAGGGCATGAAGCACACACGCATGATGATTGTACGAGGTTATTAATATCAGTAGATGGTCCTTCTTTAGCCAGTTTAGCCATGTTGTATGTCATCACGGCTGGCATAGACGCATCCATTTGGTTAACACGTTGACGGAGTTGATTCAAGTCACATTCCAAGTTTGCATTTCGGTCTTCATATTTGTTGATAATGCTTTTCCAAAACTCTTCCTGAGTTGCTTCTTTTGCGATGGTCTTATCATGATTGCTACACATTGTGAGGTCGATGTTGTTTTTATCAACAACATATATAATTTTACTTCGAATTTCTCATCATTTTCTACACAAAATTTTATTCATACGCAACACGACAGATAGATTTTGTTAGTATATGTTATTTAAGTAGCAGAACCATGACAACAGTTAATTCTTTGTTTTCAACGAAAACTTGTTGGAAATTTAATGCGAAAATTAAAAAGTTGTAAGTAAACTATTCCAAAGTTTTTTTATAAATTAGAATCTTATAAGTTTGTGTTATTTTGTTATGTTTTCAGAATAAACTTAGAAATTCCATCTAATATTATATACTATATTATTAATAAGATTAATATCATTATTATCTATATTAAAACATATTTATATTTGTATGAAATTTATACATACCAAAACTAATGAATCGATTTGGATAAACTTTTCACCAAGTGATACTGGACACTAATGTAATATTTTGCCCGTGATTGCAAAATTTAAATAATTCTGAAATGGTAATCCGCTCAGAAGCCACTAGTTAAACGTTGTTCGTAATAATTGTATTGTAATTTTCTATTGTGGTTCCTGATTTGTATCCATTTCAGAATTATTTAAAATACAATTATTAAATAATATAGTAGATTACTAATAATGCCTCACAAGTTTGAACAACTCTATATTGTATGAATGAAGATAATATCACCTAGGGGTACGAAACTCTAAAAAATCATGTGTGGAGTTCACACGCCGGAGAAGTGAAACCTTCCGAACACTGCGCTGTGAGAGAATGAGACGAAAGTAGTATCATAGTAGTGGGATAATTATTGAGTTTATTTATTATAATATTGAAATCAAGTGTAAAAGGTATTTAATATTTTTCTGCCGATATTCACGACACTTATCGGCATTAGTTTTTGGCATAGGTGAAGATCGTTATTATAGTATATTCAGAAAATATTCAAAATCAAGTGGTTTGTGGCAAGCTACGAAGCATCGCACAAAGAGGAGACGAAGATAATAGGAAACACTATATATTTGTGTTCTCTTATTCTCTCGCAGGCTAAACCATATAAACGAATACGTTTGTCTCTTTTAGTGTCGTTTCATAAATTTTGAAATCACAACGTTTCTAAGGAACTTTTCCCTTCAAAAACTTAAAGCAATTGCTAAATGATAGGTATAAGGGCAAAATAAAATAATTTTTTTTCATTTCATTTTATTCCATCATTTCTATTTATTTATGCATGTTGTTTACATAAATAGTTGCAAACTGTTGAATAACTGCAAATAAAGCAATAGTTTAAATGATGTGGATCAAACATATACCAAAATAAATAAACTACCGTGTTTGCTAACGTACTCGTATCACCAGTTCAACACATAGTTAGGTGCTGCAGTTGGTTCTTCCTCAGCTTGGACTTGCTGGGCAACGAAGATGAAGCACATTGCGCTAACGGCAAAGACGAAAATCGTAGAGAAGTTCATTGTTAACTTGTTGAGTTGACTTGATGTAGTCGAATAAAAGTGAAAGAAAACACCAGTCCTTTTTTATACCAATTTGTTTCTGGAATAATTATTACTTGAAATTATATTAATCGTTTACTAAATTGTTTAAAATAATTGTAGATTATTGCCTATTTAGGCCTTATCTAACAGCATGAATATGTTTAATAGTTATAGAAATATTTTTTAAAAGCATAGCCAAACATTAGGTATTATTAAAATAATTTTTACGACGTCATTTTCTTTCATTAAACGTATTTATGGTCAAAACTAAATTTTGCGACGGTTTTAATTAGAAAAGTTGAAAATTATCATTATCTACTCAAAGAAAAAGGATTTGAACTACTTTTCTGGTAAAAAATGGATACGAAATTCAAAGTAAAATTACATTTGTTATTAATAAAAACAACATCTCAATTTGAATTAAGTGTATATTCTGTTCTAACTGAAACAATAACTGCATCTGCATATTAATTGTCAGCTCATATTTTACATATTTATTAGTAAACTAGCTTTATCCCGCGGCTTCGCTCGCGTTGAATCCATCAAATAAATATTAGAAATCATTATACATAGTTGAAACGGATTGATAGAAAGAATGTATATTTCACTGCTTGGCAAGGATTATCTATGTGAAAAAATTACTACATGCAAAAAAGTTTTAAATTTTAGATGGAATGCTAGATGGCGTTAAAGTAGTCAATTAGCCAGATGCAGAGGTATTATTGGCTAAACAATTTCTTTATTTTATTTAAAAAATATTTTTTTTATTAAATAAAAAAGTAGCCTGTAACCATTCCGGGACCATCGGGGACCACTAAGAATATGTGTACGGATTTGATGTTGACGTAGCTGTCGGTAATACAGTGTGATGGTACTATAGTACTTAGGTGTGAGCTTCATTGCTGGAATGCTAGATGGCGTTAAAGAAGTCAAATAACCAGATGCAGAGGTGTTAGTGACTAAACAATTTCTTTATTTTAATTTAAAAAATAATTATTTTTATTAAATAAAAAGTAGCCTATAACCTATCGGGGACCACTAAGAATATGTGTACAAATTTTCATGATGATCTGTTAAGTAGTTTTTGCGTGAAAGCACGATAAACTTCAGGACATACGCATTTATAATATTAGTAAGGATATTTGTGATTAAAAGTAGCTTTCTACTTTTTTTCTTGATCAAAAATATTTCCATTTCAAAATTTATCATATTTGAATCACAAACGCATATAAAGCGACGGTTTTTCCACAGTTTTTAGACACTAAAAGTGGTACTTTATATACGCATAACCAAGCCGTGAATAAACTACTTTATCTCCGGGTATTATCTACATAGCGGGGCTTGCATCTGCGCAATTGCCTACCGTGCAGCACGAGACCATATGAAATGTCATGCGCTGCCAGTCAAACAAGTCAAAGCAAGCGTTGTTGCTGCTCCTGTCGCCATGGCACGATATTTAAAACCATTTTCCAGTAGTGTGCGAGCAAATTTCGAAGATTTAAAATACAAGAGCTGCAATACAGAAACTAAACGTGGAAATAGAGTAGAAGTAGACAAAATAGCTTAAGTATCACGTGGCTAAACATTGTTAAAGTAAAGTCCTCGTTTAGCAACTAGATACTTAATACAGTGGCATCCCGGTAATCCGACAATCACTTTGCAAGGCAGTGTCGGATGAGCGAATTTGTCGGATTATTGAGAACTGCCTAAGACCCCTTACAGTCCGGAATTTTTTACAAAAAAATACTTTGTAATCCGACAAATTACAAATCCTAAAGTACAAACATATGGCATATGACCATGTCGGATTACAAGAGGTGACGGATCAAGCTGGGTCCGGATTACCGGGATTCCACTGTATACTATTATATTATTAGTTATGCAAAACTCTTCTAAAATGCTGTCGCTGTCTAACGTGTCCGGTATCCGGTGCAGTTTTTATTGTGTCAGGTTAATATAGTACATTAGGACCGTATATACCATTTTGAAAATCTGTAAACATGGGAGCATTATTATAAAATAACAAACAAGACTATACATCAATCTACCAAGAGCACTTGTTTATTAGAATAAACAGCATGGTTTCCAAGAGGAAGCTTAAACACTTGGTGCATGTTAAGATTCATTAACATGAGAAATTTTGCACTTTCAACATCTCCATTCCAAGGTACAGCATAAAACGTAACATCACGGAATTCTTCACTCTGAAGGCAATTTTATATTAGCTATACTTTTTACTATTATCACTGTAATATAATGTAGGTATTATACAATTCGTTCCATTTCTTCCGCAAAAAATCCACACATGCATGTTCCGAAAATGTGTATCAAAAGAAGATAAAACAGCAATGTATTTGGTTTCTAAAAATTATATATATTATAATATATGAAATAAAATCACCTTAAAATGGTTGCTTACAATTAAATATGAGATAAGGCATAATGCAATACTTATGCCAGTTCCAAAATATTGGCACAATAATGGCCACTTAAACAATTGGCTGATTGCATTCCAAGATCTAAAATTTATTTAAGCTAAATGGCACCAAACGCAAATATATACTATTTACTTTCTTGCACAAAGTTGAAATCTGTATGCTTGAGTCAGCATATCCAATCGTTCCAATTTATTCTGAGTTTTTTGGCATTGATTTAGAATTTCTCTCATTTCGGGCACGCCCTCCTTAGTCAACAACATAAGAAGAAATAAGTAACTGCAGCCGGCCACACAGCAAATATACTGATAGCAAAGAGAGTAGAAAACGCAGAAATTAAATAATTCGCGATATGGACGTTGACTCAAATTAACAAATAAGTTCTAAAAATGTAATAGTATTAGATATTTTGAAAAGAATGACTAGAGATGAGCCGAGTTAGTCGACTCAACACTCGTATTGGCGGATTGCCTGAATATTAGGTCTTGAAGCGACTAATTACCCGCTAATTATTCTGCTAAAATTTAATTCTTATGTAATTTTTTTCTTTAGTAATGTAGTTCAATATTATCATGAATTTTAATTTTTTTTCACACGTTCTGTCTAATCATAAGTTTAACTATTTGAAATTATTATACCAATTACTTTTTTAAAAAGGTATTATTGCCGACTATTCGGTACATCTCTAATGACAATATGATGTTTGCTTACACCCGGATACAAAACTCCACAAACGTTATTTATGGAATTTTCACCACAAGTTTCCATTTCACTAAGAACCAATCCAATACCTAACAAAACCCAACCAACACCAATAAAACACTTTACAACCAAATCAGTAACATTAATTATGTTTTGCAATTTATGTGATAAATGATGAAACAGCCCTACTTCCATCATTTCCCAAATGATAATTCCAGATATATCCGCCGTTGTTAGCATATATACTATCATGTGTCCTAATGCTGCTGTTATAATACATGATAAATTTAAAGTGATGTCTTCAAACCGCACCCCAGTTCCTTAAACAATAACCACTATTTTTTGTTAATGTTATATTAGTGGGTGCTTACGAAATGCGAGACACAAATAGTTTAAATTTCCGAATGTACTAACAAGTACTGCACAGATATATGCCCGATAGAGGACATTGGGGAATAATATATTTTTGCTGAACCAAAAATATTTATCCACTACGCGATAGATGAAAAAATGTGCACGTGAAAAGCTCAT